CCAAGAAGTGCAACGAGTTCCGACTACGCTCCGATTCCAATATCAGCACGAGCAGCAGCTTTCGCGGCGACGGCAGCGATCCCACGGACAACAAGCACACGCTGCTCTCCGCCGAGGAGCTGACCAATCTGATTGTGGGCCGCGGCACCTATCCCAGTCGCCAGACCGTGTCCAGCACGCTGCACTCGGACTGCGATTACGTAACGCTGCCGGGCGGTGTCTCCTCCAGTGAGCAGCAGCAGCTGGAGCCGGAGGTGGCGCCGCCTGCTCCACCACCCTACAACGCACGGCACGAGAAGACGGGCCTGTGCGGACCGCCCGTGGTGCCGCCGCCGCCTGTGCCGCCCATGCCCAAGCCCATCAGCCTAGCCAAGCCCAAGCCCAAGCCGGAGCTGCCGGCCGTGCCGACGCCTGCACCACCGCCGCCCGTCGCGGTCGCGCCCGTTGCTGTAACTGCGCCGGCTGCGGCTGCGCTGCGTCGACGCGATCCGCCGCCCTATCCCACATCCATGAAGCCGCGACCCACCTCGCTTATCTCGGTGGCCTCCTCGGCAGCGGCGGGGCCAGCGCCTAGTGCCGCCGGCTCGATGAGCTCGTTGAAGTCGGAGGAGATAACGGCGCGCTTTATCACGACACGGCCACAGATCAGCATACTGAAGGCGCACACCAGCCTGCTGCCCGACGGCGCCAAGCCCAGCTATGCGGCGCACTACTCCTCGGCGGCCAGCTCCAGCGGCTCCCTGTGCAGCCATCAGCTATCGCAGCAATCCCTACACAACTCCAACTATGCCGGCGGCTCGCAAGCGTCGCTCCAGCAGCATCATCCCCACCAGCAGCAGCAGCATCATCATTCCCATCACCAGACGCACCATCGTCACTCGGGCTCGGCGGCCATTGGCATACCCATTGTTCCTTACGGTCTGCACCACAAGAGCACCGCCTCGCTGCACCATCATCATCATCACCAGCAGGCGCCGCCGCCGCAGCAGGCTTGCGTCCTGTTGCCCGTGATCAAGCCGCGTCAGTTTCTGCCTCCACCGCCGCCTAGTTTGCCGCGACAGCCGCCGCCACCGCCGCCGACGACGCATCCGCATCATCTGGCGGGCTTGTATAGCAGCCAGCTGGCGGCTCGGAATCAGCTGGAGCTGTACCAGCAGCAGATGTACAGCGACGTGGACTATGTCATCTATCCCATACAGGATCCGGCTGTCAGCCAGCAGGAGTATCTGGATGCCAAGCAGAGCTCGCTACTGGCTGCCATGGCGCAGGCGCAGCCGCCAACGCCTCATCATCCGCATTCCTATTTGGCCTATCCGGCCGGCTGGGACACATGCAAGGGTCATGCCATTTACCGGAGCACGCCGTATTTGCCGCTGGCGCTGTCCACGCACTCGCGCTATGCCTCCACACAGAATCTGTCCGATACGTATGTTCAGCTGCCCGGGCCGGGCTACTCGCCCCTCTACTCACCCTCCATGGCCAGCATGTGCAGCTCGTATGAGCCGCCGCCGCCGCCGCCATTGCATCCGGCAGCGCTGGCCGCGGCCGCAGCGGCAAACGCTTCCAGCCTCTTTGCACGATCGCGATCAGACGATAATATTCTGAACTCGCTCGACTCGATGCCGAGGCCAAAAGTGAAGCGTCTGCCGCCACCGCCGCCGCCGCCGTACGTCAATCGGCTCAAGAAGCCGCCAATGCCGGCGCCCAGCGAACAGCCGCCGCCAAGTAAGTTTACGATGTAATTGATTTGATTGATTGACCGATTGACTGACTACGTTCCCTGATTGACCAACTAATTGGTTTGATTGCTTGACAGACCGACTGATAGAATGGCTGACTAGTTGTCTTGATTGATCAACTAAATTATTAATTTGATTGATTGATTGACTGACTGATTAAACGGCTGATAAGTTAACTTGATTGAGTACACTTCATTGACAAATTAATTTGATTGACTAACTGACTGACTGGATGAACGGCTGACTAGTTTTGCTGATTGACTACGCATTATCGACCTTTTGATTTGATTGATTGACAGACTGAATAGCTACTCATCCACTGATAGAATGGCTAACTAGTTGTCCTGATTGATTAACTGATCCACTGATTGAATACCTTCTTAACTGATTGATTAACTGACTCAGTGATTGACTGATTGAAAACCTTCCTGACTGATTGACTAAATATCTGATTGATAGACTGATTGATTAACTGATCCACTGATTGACTGAATATCTTCCTAATTGATTGATAGACTGATTGACCGACTTACAAATGAATTGACTGACTGAATTATTAAGTGAATGATTGATTGATTGACTCCACGAACTAACAATAAAATCTGATAGTCTGAATTTGACCAGCTTTTAACCATTCACTTTTCTCTTGCTCTTACAGTTCCCTCGAAGCCAAATCCCAATCCCAGCATGCTGCCGCCACGCAAGCCGCTTACCCTGAATCCGCACCAGTCCAACAGTCCGCTGATCAAGACCTCCAGCGGCGCCCAGTGGGCGGGGGAGCGCCCCCGTCCCGACCTGAGTCTGGGCCTGAATCGCGGCAACAGCAACAGCATACTGGCCCAGCTGCAGGCATCCATTGCCGCCAACAGCCAATCGCAGGCGTCGAATGCCCAGGCCAATCCGCTGGACATTGCGCTGTTGCGCGAGAAGAGCAAACATCTGGACTTGCCACTCATCTCGGCGCTCTGCAACGATCGCTCGCTGCTCAAGCAGACCAAGGTCGCAGTCAATCCCAAGAACGCCAAGCAAACGACGAGTGCCACAGCAGCCGCCGTCGCCGCCGGAGCTGGCTCTGCGCCTGCCGCAACCACATCCACAGCCGGCGGTGTGGGTCATCACGGCGCCAGCAAATCCCTGGCTCAGACACAGGTCACGAATGGCAGCACGCCTACGGGCACACTGAGCAAGGGACGCAAAAGCGCAACGATCAGTCATCGTCATCCGCAGGACAAGCTGCCGCCGCTGCCCGTGCAGCTGGCGGAGGCCAACAACTATGTCATGGATCCAGCCGTGGTCATGAAGCACCACAAAAGCTACAACTCGCAGTCACAAACCCAAACGCAATCGCAGACCTAAGCGACAACAACATAAAAATAGGCAGAGCAGACACTCAATTCTCTAGTTAACAATGCGAATGTGAATGTGAATGTGTTTGGTGGAATTGGTGGCATTTTGGTGGTTGGTGATTGGTGGTGTTGGTGGGTCAGCCGAGTCCAGAGTTGAGAATTTGCATAGTGCGCGAAGGTGTCGATCACAGTATGTTGACGGCCGGAAGGTAGATTCCAAGACCAGGTTCGACAGGCGCGCTTCCAGAGAAAAAAGAATAGAAAAGAAAAGAGAAGAAAAACAACAGCCAGTGCAACAGTTAAGGACAAAGTAACAAAAGGGAATACGAAACATAACTAACCTCAAATAGCACACACACTTACACAGAACCCAGTCTAGTCAATTTAGGTATGGGATTGCTGAGAGAAACTCAAATAAACAATGACAAAAACAAAAACAAAAAAACTAGCAACAGAAAACAGGAATCAAAAGACAAAAGAAACAAAAGAACGAAAAGGAAGCAACAATACTCAAGTATAAAATACGAACTACTTAATTTACAAACTACAAAACAAACAACTTACTTAGTCTAGTTTAGCTAGCTAGTGACCGGCTCTCAGTATCTGAGAGCCCGCTTAACACTTAGATAGGCCCAGTCGCGATTACTTAAAACTAAAACGCTGAGAGAACTAACTACTTCCGCCCAAAACAACTGTGATTGATATTTTTTTATATTTAAAACTAAACTTACTTTACAAAACTCTTAAAATAGTCAGCAATGAGAAGAAAAACGCACAAAAACTATGCAAATTTTTAGTATATAGACAAAACTCGCATTTAAACACAGAGAGAGAGATAGAGAGAGAGAGAGAGAGAGAGAGAAAGAAAGCGCCCCCCATACACACACACAAATGTAATCCACTTATGCTTACCATACACACATACTCACACATACGCATACTCACAAAACGCATCCAAGCGCAGGCGAGCCAATGAACGTACGGCATTAGATAAAAGAGAGCACGCAGCGTGCTCTTGAGAGAGCATAGCTGTGTCTTATCGAGAAAGCGCACACAGCTGTCTTACGCTCTCGTGAGAGCACAGACAGCTGTCTTACGCTCTTGTGAGAGCACAGACAGCTGTCTCACGCTCTTGTGAGAGCATAGACAGCTGTTAAGCGCTCTGCAGAGCATTTGTTGCATCTCTCTTGCATCGATTGCCCTGCTCTTTGGCCTTGCCTGCTGCTGAACTAAAGAATTTGTTTATAATAATCGAGTGCGCGCCCTCGGAATGCCATTTAAAAAATAATTGCCTAGGCCTTGCCCCACCGTTTGTTTTATTATTTTAATATTTTGATTTTGAATTTAGCGAGTGAGCGTTGACGCTTCTGTTTTAATTATTATTTCTTGATTATGATTTCGTTTTTTAAGTTGATAATGATTTTGATGCATATTCATATTCATATTATGTTTATATATTAACCACTGTCTGTGTGTGTGTGTATGTGTGTGTTGCTTGTACACGTGTGTGTGTAACTGTGTGTGTGCATGTTTTAGCTGCTGTCGCATATATTTGCGTAGGTTTTTCTCGGCTAAAAGCCTATGGCTAAATGAACGAGTGGCAGCAGCTAGAAAACTACACACACAAGCACCCACACACATGCCACAACAAATACACACACACGCACACACACACCTTTGCAGCTATATGTTATCAAAATCGGCCATATAGTATAGAGCTATAGCAAAACGCTTAGGTTCCAATCAAGTTTTCTTATGGAATCTAACGATATGTATCCTGGCAACTGCTTGTATATATACATATATATATATATGTGCAGCAGTCGGTGCCAAAATAGAAATAACTATCTATACGTGTATGTGTACTATATATATATATACATATATATATATGAGTAATAAAAATCATGATTAATTAAAACTTGCTTCTCAGAGAGAGAGCGTGTTACAAATTCTATTTCTATTGTTTATAGTTAATTTACAAATTGTTGCTTCGAACAGACGATGGAATGTTGAGGCAAGTTCATAACATTTGGGAGGGTGGGAGTCAGTTTTAGTCATACATCAAAGAGTCCATGTATATATTGTACTTAACAATAGGGTGTGTTTGTGTGTGTTTATCACAAATGCCTGTATATAGCACATATTTATACACACAATCGGCATATTAATCTGTTGCTATCAAATTTTAAAATGGCAACTGATGTAACAAAAAAACAACAACAACGCGACTTAATAATGAACTAGCAAACGTTAACTTGTGTCCTGGCACATTTGGCATTTTAGTTAGTGTATTAAGCTGCGGCCACTAATTGGTTAGCATATCCTCATCATCAACGGGTCGCCGCACCCAGCGCTTGGTCAGGGTAAGTACAATGCCGGTGGTCAAAAAGATGCCGCCGAAAACAATGCAGCCGATGCCCGTGTAGAAGCCATAGTCCGATAAGTTAATGGCCAGCTGAAAGCAAAGAACAAAGCCAACTTAGCAACTATTTTCCAAGTTGAGTACAGCACGCACTCACCTTGGCCCTGGAGGCCAGCTCGGGAGTTAGCTCGGCGAACTGATCAAACCAAAACATGGGCATCAAAACCTTTTGCACGCCACGGTAAATCCTAGAATATAACAGAAGAGGAAAGTTAGAAATTCAACAAACTGTGGCAATGTGTGACGTACTTGTAATCATCATCCGGCTCCAGCATCATGTTGATCTGTATGCGTCCGTGCACCTGGACGGGCGCGCCAGTCCTTGGCTCCACGGCCATAACAAACTCGTGCTGCGACTTGTCCGGCTTCAGGCCGCTGACCGCATTCAAATAGGACTCGTCGGCCAGGTAGAAGTGCGGGAAGGATGAGTAGATGGGCGCCTTGTCGCGGCATGCCTTGCACTCGACAACGCCCGTTTTGGGGCACTCCTCCAAGCGTGGATCACAGAAACAGGCCTGATTTGGATAGTTCTCGCCGGAGTCGAGTGTCTCCTCGGTGCCCACCCAACGTGTGGCCGTTAGACCGTGCATAACCATGGTGCCCTGGGGCCGCAGATTCATAAAACGACACGCATCCGTCGCAAATATGGTTATCTCCTCCTGTGTATTCAATTTGGGCGGAAACAGATCACCCGTGGTGCCATTAACAATGCCGCACGGCAGCTTATAGAAACCCGTCTCGTTTTTTCTATTCCAGTGCGTCAATCGACCCAAATTGGACAAGTCATCGGTGCCCGTGTGTATGGTAAAGAGACCGTCGTATTCCAGTGAACCGTTGCGATCCGCCAGCCAGCCGAAACGTGTATAGGGTATGTCGATTTTGCTGGTATTGAACAGATTGAGGAAATCGGTGAGATCATCCTGATAGCCATCGAATATCCATTCGTGCACCGGTTTTGTGGTGTACAAAGAGCCGCCCTCGGTATTTAGCATAAAATCAACAATCTTCTTGATAATCTTTCGCTCGTGACGCATCTCATCGGCCACGGTGGCGGTAATGACATGCGCCGTGGTTATCATGTCCATCAGCGTGCCATTGGAGCGCTCCTCATCGAAGAACCAGGTGCGACGCTCATAATACGCCACCGTCGCATTGTCGTAGAAGGTGAAGTTCTCCTTTTTGTGCTTCTCGAGGAAGACATATGGACCCATTTCGGTAAAGTGTGGCTTAATGTTCGGATTGCGTATATCCTCCGGATTGGTCCAGTTGAACATGTGGAACTTCAGATAGATGGGTATGGGCGCCTCCAGCCAGCTGTCGTAGGTATCGGTGCCGGGTTCCAGTTTCAAGCCCTGCCGCCAAATTAAAGAGAACTTGTAAGGTAAAGAAAAGAATAGATATTTGATGTACTCACATTCTCCACAAGCTTGTCAGCCAGATCGGGCCAGAGCACCACGAGTAGTATGCCCAGGATGACAAAGACGCTGCCAATGCCAAAGACCCAACATTTGCGCTGCGTTTCGCCGCAGCACTTGCAGCACATGATGAAATCGGGCTAAACAAAAACTGTCGTTGCCTGAAAAATGATTTTAAGAGCATTTGGGACAGAGAACTGTTGGGTTAAACCGTTGCATAAGCAGCTGGTCAATAAACCTAATCGTTGCGCTGTTAATCGCGGTATTTTAATAGACTCTGCATTTTATGAGCCCAATGCCCCACGCCCCCCTGCCGAGCTTTAAAGCGTTCCACGGCTGGCCGTGCTTATCGCTTGGACTCAGGTTCACAACAATTTAAATAGTCTTTATCATATCTTCAAATTGACATATCCGTCAGGCAGATTATTGAGTACAAGAGTTCTTTTTAGTTCTTGAATGGAAGTGCGAAAAATAAAAAACAAAACAATAAATAGTACACGTGTCGGGCGTGCACGACTGACAGACACCCTGTCCATGAGTCCAGCTCTGTGTATAGGAAATCCATTCTTGATTAATTTCGGCTCTTAGAGTCAGATTTTTCAAATGATCAAAATATATAGCTAACGTTCACACAGACGACTAGCGAAATCTCGAGTGCCAGCAAAACGAAAGCCTTTGCTTAGCTTTCCCAGCGGCAGTTGTGTGGCTTCTGTGCTGCGTGCTTTACTTAGATGGTTTTAGGCGCTTACGTAGAGTACCCGACCGGGGAAAAACTGGACAGTGCGTTATCCACAAGCGCACGCTCTCGAAGGCAAGCAACGACTGTGGCTCGATTAGCCCTAGTTTGGGTATTTTTCTTTGTTTAATCAGCGACTAAGGCTAATCTTAAGTGTGCCAAGAAGCACTTGTGAATGCAATTGATAGTGCATGCGGTACGAATATTCAAATGATATAATATAAAGAGAATACAAGTATTATAATATTGTCACATTTCTGGCTCAGCTTGGACCTTACTCAACTAAGCGCTGAGAAAAGCTGTTCAGATAAAACTGGGCTGGGAAATCTCGGAACGATTCATATGTTGGACTAGGTCAGAGCGAATAATACGGTCTGGTTTTTCAGATATCTTAACAAAACTTGGCATAGACAAGCTCGCCCCTCAAACGCCCGCCCTCACCAAGATATACATATATACAATATTGGGCGGGGTCGACCCCCCGTTTAAGTTCAGGGTTAGTTCTAGGCAAGGGCCATTATTTATAGCCGTGATAAGATAGGCGTAGCTAAAAACATTTCGCTGATTAACGATTATTTCGATATGGGAGCGTTAACTACATAAACGTGCACTTGTATATACAGATAAGTTAACAGTTAAAGCATGCAAGTAGATAAGTTAACAGCTAATCCTAAGCTTAATCGAAGTGCTGTATCTGCGGGTAATGTGTATTATATAGAAAAAATAAATAAAAAATAATCAAAAAATAAAGTTAGTTCGCGATTTTAACAGTCTACACAAGTTTGGCACATTCCTAAGTTTCTCAAATAGTATGATAATGAAGATGATGATAATGAAGAAGAAGATGATGATGATAATGGAACAAGCCAAGCAGGCTGCCCGTTATTGAAGCTTTAACTGTACATGCACAACTGTTACTTTGTGCGTTTAGAAATAAAGTAAACAAAGTGCGACAATCTGTAAATACAATAAATGTACATATTTAAATAGACTCCTTTGTTCGCTTGGACTTTGCTTAAAACTAAAGATAACCATTTCCGACAAGGGTGCGCCGCCATATCGAACTCTAAGCCACATGAATCATTGAGAATAATGCAAGCTCGCAGCTTAAGTTGCACAATTAATCGCAGCACACATGTATATATATATGTATAGCTCATTAACTAGTGTTACTCACCACTTTTGTTAATTTATACACAATAACACAGAAGACGCCGCCCGCTATCCTCGACCCGCTTCTTCGTCGTCTTAATTATTGCGTTTCATAGACAGCCTTGAGCATAATTTGCGGTTGGCTTTGAAATTCCTTGGCTTTAACAAGGACAAACAACCACAACTATATATAAGGACACTTATTTGGCTTTGGCGCGCTCTCTGGAACAGCAGCTAAAGTTAACTAAGACGCCAGAATCAACAAATTAATAAAAAACACTCGCGCTCACTGCTGCAAAAACATGCAACGTTTACCAGCACTGTTCCTAGAGATGAGTAATAGTTAGCTCACATTGTGATGTGCTAAACAGCTTTACCAGAAACAGCTGAATTAACATTATATATTTCCGATTCGACTTTTTATTTTTAGAATGGCAGGTTCTTAAGCCACTTAATTGCTGTTGTGTTAAAACAGCTGTTAAGTGTTTATGTCATTTATCGTTAGAGAATATCACATAGGCATGCAAGTGAAGGTTCTATTTTGCGATAATTTAATCAGAAAACAGCTGAAAAGCAGTACATCTACATTTAATATATAGTAAGCACAGAGAAAGCTTATAGCAAAATAAAAATTCTCTTTGTAAATCTAATCTTTTTGTTTTAAGCTTTACCGATTATTTTTGCACATGTGTTTTCAGTGTGACCGCAGACAAGTGAAAATACTAAGAACACAAACAGCTGGAATATATGATTAGGTGGCAGCACCGCCACGCCGGTTTCGACCAATCAACGGCAACCACGACGCACACACACAATCATAGATAGTTTTTTGATAATTTTTGCCAGCCGTGTTATTTTGACGAGCTGAAATTCACTCATAAGACCAGCAAATGATGTTCAATTGAATAAAACCACACACAGCGAAGACTAACCACGTAGCCTAATTAACACACACACAGAATGCAGCTAATCAAGGGCCTGCTACTCGTGCAGCTGGCGCTCCTCCTGATAGACGAGGCGCTGGCGGGGCGAGACTTCTACAAGATTCTCAATGTGAAGCGAAATGCCAACACAAATGAAATAAAGAAGGCGTACAGGCGTCTGGCCAAAGAGCTGCATCCGGACAAAAACAAAGATGATCCGGATGCGTCCACCAAATTTCAGGATCTTGGCGCAGCCTACGAGGTGCTCTCGAATGCGGACAAACGGAAGACCTACGATCGCTGCGGCGAGGAGTGCCTGAAGAAGGAGGGCATGATGGACCATGGCGGCGATCCATTCTCCAGTTTCTTTGGCGATTTTGGCTTTCATTTTGGCAACGGTGATCCGCACCAGCATGATACGCCCCGCGGCGCCGACATTGTGATGAACTTGTATGTCTCCCTCGAGGAACTCTACTCGGGCAACTTTGTGGAGATTGTGCGCAACAAGCCAGTGATGAAGCCCGCCTCCGGCACGCGCAAATGCAATTGCCGGCAGGAGATGGTCACCCGCAATTTGGGTCCCGGACGCTTCCAAATGATACAGCAAACCGTTTGCGATGAGTGCCCCAACGTGAAGCTGGTCAACGAGGAGCGCACCTTAGAGATTGAGGTGGAACAGGGCATGGTCGATGGCCAGGAGACACGCTTCGTAGCCGAGGGTGAGCCCCATATTGACGGCGAGCCCGGCGATCTCATTGTCCGTGTGCAGCAGATGCCACACGCGCGTTTCCTGCGCAAGGCCGACGATTTGTACACGAACGTGACCATTAGCCTGCAGGATGCACTCATTGGTTTTACAATGGAGATTAAGCATCTGGACGGGCACAGTGTGGGCGTGACGCGCGAGAAAATCACCTGGCCAGGCGCACGCATACGCAAGAAGGGCGAGGGCATGCCCAACTTTGAGAACAACAATCTGACGGGCAATCTTTACATAACATTCGATGTGGAGTTCCCCAAGCAAGACTTGACCGAGGAAGACAAAGAAGGTAGGCGACCAAATCCGAATCTCTAATTAACGACAGCAACTTCTAAACTTGTATTGTTTCTCTTTGCAGCGCTCAAGAAAATACTCCAACAGTCGTCCATAAATCGGATCTACAATGGATTGTGAATCGTTCGGACTTGAACCAGGGCTATACTTTAAGTAGTATTTATTGTAGGTGTCGAAGACTTTTGTTGCCAGTAGAAGTTGTGTGCAAAACCTTAATATAGTCTAGTAATTGTAAAATATAAATCGATTCGGGGTCGTTCCACAAGCCACAAACGACTGTAGCAACATGAACAGAAAAAAAAAAACAAAATAAATTACATTAAATTAAAAAAAAAAATTATTTCATTTGTGAGGCCTGAGAGTATGCAAGGTATGCTGACTTTCGTGTACAGGGTATGCTGCGCTAACTTTCTGGCAACGCTGGCCAACAGCTGTTAAATTCGGCGCAGGACAAAAAGGCGCTGGAGCTTGAGTAAGAGAGTGTGAGAGAGGGGGGCAAGAGAGCGCGCGGCTTGCGGGCTAAAGAGCGCAGAAATTTTCAGCAGTGCGGACGTTCAGCAACGGCGCTGCAGCTTTAATTTATAACAGAACGAAAGAAAAAAGAAAAACAAGAAAACGCTACTTAACAACTGTTAATTTGAATTAGTTTGTCGTAAACATTTAAGTGGCTTGGTTGCATTTGGCAGGCAGTACCGTTACAAGTGCACCTAACCTCAAAAAAAAGGGCTGCTCAAGATTTGCATTAAAAATTCAAGAGCAACCATTCTGCAGCAACAACAAATTGCATAAAAGTAATGCATGTCGCCTGATTATACACCAATTCAAGGTGAGTGCTTATGCTAGTCGATGCCAATTTTTAAAGGCCTGCCAAGTAACGCTTGGCTTTAACTGCCTGCCTGCCTGCCAGTCCACCCACCCCCCCGCCCGCTTTCACCCGCTCGACCGCATTCCTTTATCGATTTTCTGTGCGCGTTGCCCCTTTTGCTTGAGCTGACCCAAAAAAAAAGTAAAGACTCAGAAGCAGGCAGGCTGCCCAGGGGTGGCAACCGGCGGCAATTGCGTGCCCAGGGCTACTAAGTGGGCGGCATTCGTTATTAATTGGCCAGTTGGTCAGTAGGTCCTGGCCCACAGCCGCATTGCATTTGCCCAACCATTACAGATTGCATTCGTCCACTTGCTCCACTTGATGACATCCAGGCAATTTCTGATCTTTGTTCTGTTGCTGTTACCATGGCCGCCATCCAACGTCATCAAGATACTCTGCTCGCGAGATAACAGCCGTCTGGTGCGCAAGATTGTGCGCTCCAAGTGGACGCCCATATTGGATAAGCATCAGGTAAAGTCGATAAACAAAATAATATTAAAAAGAGCCGTACTGATGCAGGTGTTTCGCACAGGTGAAGCTGCCCTTGGAGTGTCCGCTGCATCCGCTGAGAGATGTGTTTGCGCCGCGTCAGGATGAGAAGCAGCGGGATCGGCCCACACAGTGGACCTGTCGGCTTTGTGGCAAGAGTTTCTATCAGGAAAAGTATCTGGACTTGCACTTTGATACGCGCCACAAGCACATCATCAATGAGGTAAGGCTTGATTAACTGGGAAAGTGTATCCATCTAAAGTTCAACTCCTTTTAGGCAGAGGAGGCCGTTTGCCTGGCCGACTTTTGCGATATAATGCGCTGCGAGGTATTCCAAACGGAGGACGCTTCTAGCCTTAAGTTTGGGGATCAGCACATCAGCACAGCTCGCCCCTCAAACGCCCGCCCTCACCAAGATATACATATATACAATATTGGGCGGGGTCGACCCCCCGTTTAAGTTCAGGGTTAGTTCTAGGCAAGGGCCATTATTTATAGCCGTGATAAGATAGGCGTAGCTAAAAACATTTCGCTGATTAACGATTATTTCGATATGGGAGCGTTAACTACATAAACGTGCACTTGTATATACAGATAAGTTAACAGTTAAAGCATGCAAGTAGATAAGTTAACAGCTAATCCTAAGCTTAATCGAAGTGCTGTATCTGCGGGTAATGTGTATTATATAGAAAAAATAAATAAAAAATAATCAAAAAATAAAGTTAGTTCGCGATTTTAACAGTCTACACAAGTTTGGCACATTCCTAAGTTTCTCAAATAGTATGATAATGAAGATGATGATAATGAAGAAGAAGATGATGATGATAATGGAACAAGCCAAGCAGGCTGCCCGTTATTGAAGCTTTAACTGTACATGCACAACTGTTACTTTGTGCGTTTAGAAATAAAGTAAACAAAGTGCGACAATCTGTAAATACAATAAATGTACATATTTAAATAGACTCCTTTGTTCGCTTGGACTTTGCTTAAAACTAAAGATAACCATTTCCGACAAGGGTGCGCCGCCATATCGAACTCTAAGCCACATGAATCATTGAGAATAATGCAAGCTCGCAGCTTAAGTTGCACAATTAATCGCAGCACACATGTATATATATATGTATAGCTCATTAACTAGTGTTACTCACCACTTTTGTTAATTTATACACAATAACACAGAAGACGCCGCCCGCTATCCTCGACCCGCTTCTTCGTCGTCTTAATTATTGCGTTTCATAGACAGCCTTGAGCATAATTTGCGGTTGGCTTTGAAATTCCTTGGCTTTAACAAGGACAAACAACCACAACTATATATAAGGACACTTATTTGGCTTTGGCGCGCTCTCTGGAACAGCAGCTAAAGTTAACTAAGACGCCAGAATCAACAAATTAATAAAAAACACTCGCGCTCACTGCTGCAAAAACATGCAACGTTTACCAGCACTGTTCCTAGAGATGAGTAATAGTTAGCTCACATTGTGATGTGCTAAACAGCTTTACCAGAAACAGCTGAATTAACATTATATATTTCCGATTCGACTTTTTATTTTTAGAATGGCAGGTTCTTAAGCCACTTAATTGCTGTTGTGTTAAAACAGCTGTTAAGTGTTTATGTCATTTATCGTTAGAGAATATCACATAGGCATGCAAGTGAAGGTTCTATTTTGCGATAATTTAATCAGAAAACAGCTGAAAAGCAGTACATCTACATTTAATATATAGTAAGCACAGAGAAAGCTTATAGCAAAATAAAAATTCTCTTTGTAAATCTAATCTTTTTGTTTTAAGCTTTACCGATTATTTTTGCACATGTGTTTTCAGTGTGACCGCAGACAAGTGAAAATACTAAGAACACAAACAGCTGGAATATATGATTAGGTGGCAGCACCGCCACGCCGGTTTCGACCAATCAACGGCAACCACGACGCACACACACAATCATAGATAGTTTTTTGATAATTTTTGCCAGCCGTGTTATTTTGACGAGCTGAAATTCACTCATAAGACCAGCAAATGATGTTCAATTGAATAAAACCACACACAGCGAAGACTAACCACGTAGCCTAATTAACACACACACAGAATGCAGCTAATCAAGGGCCTGCTACTCGTGCAGCTGGCGCTCCTCCTGATAGACGAGGCGCTGGCGGGGCGAGACTTCTACAAGATTCTCAATGTGAAGCGAAATGCCAACACAAATGAAATAAAGAAGGCGTACAGGCGTCTGGCCAAAGAGCTGCATCCGGACAAAAACAAAGATGATCCGGATGCGTCCACCAAATTTCAGGATCTTGGCGCAGCCTACGAGGTGCTCTCGAATGCGGACAAACGGAAGACCTACGATCGCTGCGGCGAGGAGTGCCTGAAGAAGGAGGGCATGATGGACCATGGCGGCGATCCATTCTCCAGTTTCTTTGGCGATTTTGGCTTTCATTTTGGCAACGGTGATCCGCACCAGCATGATACGCCCCGCGGCGCCGACATTGTGATGAACTTGTATGTCTCCCTCGAGGAACTCTACTCGGGCAACTTTGTGGAGATTGTGCGCAACAAGCCAGTGATGAAGCCCGCCTCCGGCACGCGCAAATGCAATTGCCGGCAGGAGATGGTCACCCGCAATTTGGGTCCCGGACGCTTCCAAATGATACAGCAAACCGTTTGCGATGAGTGCCCCAACGTGAAGCTGGTCAACGAGGAGCGCACCTTAGAGATTGAGGTGGAACAGGGCATGGTCGATGGCCAGGAGACACGCTTCGTAGCCGAGGGTGAGCCCCATATTGACGGCGAGCCCGGCGATCTCATTGTCCGTGTGCAGCAGATGCCACACGCGCGTTTCCTGCGCAAGGCCGACGATTTGTACACGAACGTGACCATTAGCCTGCAGGATGCACTCATTGGTTTTACAATGGAGATTAAGCATCTGGACGGGCACAGTGTGGGCGTGACGCGCGAGAAAATCACCTGGCCAGGCGCACGCATACGCAAGAAGGGCGAGGGCATGCCCAACTTTGAGAACAACAATCTGACGGGCAATCTTTACATAACATTCGATGTGGAGTTCCCCAAGCAAGACTTGACCGAGGAAGACAAAGAAGGTAGGCGACCAAATCCGAATCTCTAATTAACGACAGCAACTTCTAAACTTGTATTGTTTCTCTTTGCAGCGCTCAAGAAAATACTCCAACAGTCGTCCATAAATCGGATCTACAATGGATTGTGAATCGTTCGGACTTGAACCAGGGCTATACTTTAAGTAGTATTTATTGTAGGTGTCGAAGACTTTTGTTGCCAGTAGAAGTTGTGTGCAAAACCTTAATATAGTCTAGTAATTGTAAAATATAAATCGATTCGGGGTCGTTCCACAAGCCACAAACGACTGTAGCAACATGAACAGAAAAAAAAAAACAAAATAAATTACATTAAATTAAAAAAAAAAATTATTTCATTTGTGAGGCCTGAGAGTATGCAAGGTATGCTGACTTTCGTGTACAGGGTATGCTGCGCTAACTTTCTGGCAACGCTGGCCAACAGCTGTTAAATTCGGCGCAGGACAAAAAGGCGCTGGAGCTTGAGTAAGAGAGTGTGAGAGAGGGGGGCAAGAGAGCGCGCGGCTTGCGGGCTAAAGAGCGCAGAAATTTTCAGCAGTGCGGACGTTCAGCAACGGCGCTGCAGCTTTAATTTATAACAGAACGAAAGAAAAAAGAAAAACAAGAAAACGCTACTTAACAACTGTTAATTTGAATTAGTTTGTCGTAAACATTTAAGTGGCTTGGTTGCATTTGGCAGGCAGTACCGTTACAAGTGCACCTAACCTCAAAAAAAAGGGCTGCTCAAGATTTGCATTAAAAATTCAAGAGCAACCATTCTGCAGCAACAACAAATTGCATAAAAGTAATGCATGTCGCCTGATTATACACCAATTCAAGGTGAGTGCTTATGCTAGTCGATGCCAATTTTTAAAGGCCTGCCAAGTAACGCTTGGCTTTAACTGCCTGCCTGCCTGCCAGTCCACCCACCCCCCCGCCCGCTTTCACCCGCTCGACCGCATTCCTTTATCGATTTTCTGTGCGCGTTGCCCCTTTTGCTTGAGCTGACCCAAAAAAAAAGTAAAGACTCAGAAGCAGGCAGGCTGCCCAGGGGTGGCAACCGGCGGCAATTGCGTGCCCAGGGCTACTAAGTGGGCGGCATTCGTTATTAATTGGCCAGTTGGTCAGTAGGTCCTGGCCCACAGCCGCATTGCATTTGCCCAACCATTACAGATTGCATTCGTCCACTTGCTCCACTTGATGACATCCAGGCAATTTCTGATCTTTGTTCTGTTGCTGTTACCATGGCCGCCATCCAACGTCATCAAGATACTCTGCTCGCGAGATAACAGCCGTCTGGTGCGCAAGATTGTGCGCTCCAAGTGGACGCCCATATTGGATAAGCATCAGGTAAAGTCGATAAACAAAATAATATTAAAAAGAGCCGTACTGATGCAGGTGTTTCGCACAGGTGAAGCTGCCCTTGGAGTGTCCGCTGCATCCGCTGAGAGATGTGTTTGCGCCGCGTCAGGATGAGAAGCAGCGGGATCGGCCCACACAGTGGACCTGTCGGCTTTGTGGCAAGAGTTTCTATCAGGAAAAGTATCTGGACTTGCACTTTGATACGCGCCACAAGCACATCATCAATGAGGTAAGGCTTGATTAACTGGGAAAGTGTATCCATCTAAAGTTCAACTCCTTTTAGGCAGAGGAGGCCGTTTGCCTGGCCGACTTTTGCGATATAATGCGCTGCGAGGTATTCCAAACGGAGGACGCTTCTAGCCTTAAGTTTGGGGATCAGCACATTGTCACCGATATCGAAGTTTGGGGTGACTCTCTGGGTCAGAACTCCGCACTGGCCAAAGCGAATGCCGCATACTTGAGTTTAATACCAAGGCAAGTCTCAGATATTTCAATAGAATTGTTTGCTGAACCAATTCCTTGCAGAACTTCCACATTGAGTGCCACACGTGCAGCTAAAGTACAAAATCGTCAATTACTCCAAGAGAAGCCAAGTCCCAGCAAGGAGCAACCGTTGGCCGCAGATGCCAACAGCGCCGAGGATGGCTCTGCGGCTAAGCCCAAATCCGCCGGTGAGAAGCTGCTAATGAAGCTAAAGGAGTTGAGTCAGACGCATCTGAAGCGTGCGGCACAGGCCGCACCGGCGACCGAGTCCAAGAAGAACGCGACAGCGGAAGCGGAACAGAGCGGCGACGGAGAGGGCAGCGGTCAGCCAGATGCCGCCAAGAGCTCGGACGCTGGCAACGGCCAGGCCAAGGTGCGCGTCAACTGCAAGCCGGAGGAGCTGAGCAAGCTGAAGGCACGCTGCGAGCTGCTGCTACGTAGCTGCATTGGCGGCCTATTGCTGGCTATGTCGGATCAGTCGTTCAAGGAGATGGAGGAGGAGATGAACAAGGCGGTCTGCTGGTATCTGACATGCGATCGGTACTGGGAGGATGGCCCGCTGGAACCACGTGCCTTTCCCTGGGGTCTAATTGTCATACTCATATTCGTGCTATCGACGGGCATCTGTTTCTGCTACTACATCATTTGGATACTGTTTGAGTAAGTGTGGCACGGCCGCAGCAATAGCCCCCAGCCCATTTGAGATTGAGCCAACCCCAAGTCATTTGTTTCAGCTCCGAAGAAACGACAATCAATGCCAACCACTATGCCGGCGTCGGAACCGGCGGCAGCATATACATGCCCCATCCCTCGCACCACTACCAGCACGACTATGCCACCCAGCAAGAGCTGCAGCTGGACGCCGGCGCGACACCTGGTCGGACTGCCGACCTACAGCAGCAGCAGCAGCAGCAACAGTTCTACTACCAGCAACAGCAACAGCAGCAGGCGCGCGACTTGTACCCCGAACCAGTGCAATATCATCGGCACAGTCCGCGTCACACGTACATCGCCGATCAGTGTCCAGCGGCGGGGTCGGTGGTGGCGTCGGGGGGTCAGGGCACGCCAACCAGCTCGTCGGCAGGCGGCCGGCAAGTGGGGGGCTCGTCATCCAACGCCAACACGCCGCTGCATCGACACTCGACCAGCCTGGTCTACCCACAGGACATTTTAGACCGACGCGACTATACAAATAGCTCCGGCCGGCCCATAGCCACAAGCGTGGTGAGCAATGTCAGCACGTCTGGTGGTGTCTCTGGTGAGCCGCCGCGTCACTACAATACGCATCCGCGGCCGCTGGACACGCGACACCGTCATGTGGGCGCCTCGCAGCAATCGCTGCGTGGCTCCTCCTCCACGCACGAGATTGTGCAGAGCGAGGTAGGTGGACAGAATGAGCACTACATATATGTCACCTATCCGCCGGATCTGAAGAAGCGCTACTTCGACAAGTACGAGTAGAAAGAGAGACCAAAGAGTTGCAGAGAGCGACAGCGTGAGAGAGAGAGAGAGAGAGAGAGAGAGAGAGAAGGATAGAGCGAGAGAACAACCTAAACCCAGTTGGTTTTTTACTTTAGCCTGCAAATTCTAGATTTGTGAACTGTGCTGTATTTTTGAATTCTACAAAAAAAGAAAACAATCGAATAAAATCGCAATATATTGCTATATTATGAAGAAAATGTGAAATTATTGTTATTATTAATATAACTGTAGTTACCTCGTGTGATGATGGCGCACGTTAAGGCGGAGTTCCAGGAAATTCCACTTGCATGTGTGGATAAATCGCAAAAACGCTTGTAAGAAATTTCTTTGAATACCGTCCAATCATTTCACACTTCCCGAAAAGTGCATCCCTCCTTGGTGCATATACATACATACAGACAAGCATGCAAACATACATACATACATACATACATACATACATACATACATACATACATACATACATACATACATACATACATACATACATACATACATACATACATACATACATACATACATACATACATGCATACATACATACATACATACATACATACATACATACATACATACATACATACATACATACATACATACATACATACATACATACATACATACATACCATACATACATACATACATACATACATACATACATACATACATACATACATACATACATACATACATACATACATACATACATACATACATACATACATACATACATACATACATACACACACACACACACAAAAAAAACAACAAAAAAAAAACAACAAAAAAAAAACAACAAAAAAAACAACAAAAAAAACAAAAAAAAAACACCAAAAAAAAAACCAAAAAAAAAATACCAAAAAAAAAACAAAAAAAAAGCACCAAAAAAAAACACCAAAAAAAAAACACCAAAAAAAAAGGCACTACACTACTAGCTAAGCATGAAAACCTGCAGAGCCTACTTGAACTTTTGAGAATCGAGGAGTAGAGCACTTGGTAGAAGTTCGTTTTATTTAAATTTGCAGCACAGCGACAAATGAGCTTGGTCTGCGTTTGGTATTAGAAAACAAACATGTATGCATACATATATACACAAATGCATACATACATGCATGCATACACATACGCACACACGCCCACACACATATACACATACAAACATACACACACACGCATGCAAACACACAGACAAATATAGATATTTCCACACCTATATAAATAACCATAACTCAGTCAAATCTCATCCGATTTTCACGAGGTTTGGCTTTTTGTTCATGGTTTTGCCTCTTAATCAACTTGGCATCAAAATCTGGCAACATAATTTTTGGTCGAAATTCATGTGTAAATCGTACCCCAAAATATCCCATATAGACATTGGTCAAATTTCCCACCCCCATAACTCAGTCAAATCTCATCCGATTTTCGCGAGGTTTGGCTTTTTGTTCATGGTTTTGCCTCTTAATCAACTTGGCATCAAAATCTGGCAACATAATTTTTGGTCGAAATTCATGTGTAAATCGTACCCCAAAATATCCCATATAGACATTGGTCAAATTTCCCACCCCCATAACTCAGTCAAATCTCATCCGATTTTCGCGAGGTTTGGCTTTTTGTTCATGGTTTTGCCTCTTAATCAACTTGGCATCAAAATCTGGCAACATAATTTTTGGTCAAAATTCATGTGTAAATCGTACCCCAAAATATCCCATATAGACATTGGTCAAATTTCCCACCCCCATAATTCAGTCAAATCTCATCCGATTTTCACGAGGTTTGGCTTTTTGTTCATGGTTTTGCCTCTTAATCAACTTGGCATCAAAATCTGGCAACATAATTTTTGGTCGAAATTCATGTGTAAATCGTACCCCAAAATATCCCATATAGACATTGGTCAAATTTCCCACTCCCATAACTCAGTCAAATCTCATCCGATTTTCACGAGGTTTGGCTTTTTGTTCATGGTTTTGCCTCTTAATCAACTTGGCATCAAAATCTGGCAACATAATTTTTGGTCGAAATTCATGTGTAAGCCGTACCCCAAAATATTACATATAGACATTGGTCAAATTTCCCACCCCCATAACTCAGTCAAATCTCATCCGATTTTCACGAGGTTTGGCTTTTTGTTCATGGTTTTGCCTCTTAATCAACTTGGCATCAAAATCTGGCAACATAATTTTTGGTCGAAATTCATGTGTAAGCCGTACCCCAAAATATCCCACATAGACATTGGTCAAATTTCCCACCCCCATAACTCAGTCAAATCTCATCCGATTTTCACGAGGTTTGGCTTTTTATTCATGGTTTTGCCTCTTAATCAACTTTGCATCAAAATCTGGCAACATAATTTTTGGTCGAAATTCATGTGTAAATCGTACCCCAAAATAGCCCATATAGACATTGGTCAAATTTCCCACCCCCATAACTCAGTCAAATCTCATCCGATTTTCACGAGGTTTGGCTTTTTGTTCATGGTTTTGCCTCTTAATCAACTTGGCATCAAAATCTGGCAACATAATTTTTGGTCGAAATTCATGTGTAAATCGTACCCCAAAATATCCCATATAGACATTGGTCAAATTTCCCACCCCCATAACTCAGTCAAATCTCATCCGATTTTCACGAGGTTTGGCTTTTTGTTCATGGTTTTGCCTCTTAATCAACTTGGCATCAAAATCTGGCAACATAATTTTTGGTCGAAATTCATGTGTAAATCGTACCCCAAAATATCCCATATAGACATTGGTCAAATTTCCCACCCCCATAACTCAGTCAAATCTCATCCGATTTTCGCGAGGTTTGGCTTTTTGTTCATGGTTTTGCCTCTTAATCAACTTGGCATCAAAATCTGGCAACATAATTTTTGGTCAAAATTCATGTGTAAATCGTACCCCAAAATATCCCATATAGACATTGGTCAAATTTCCCACCCCCATAATTCAGTCAAATCTCATCCGATTTTCACGAGGTTTGGCTTTTTGTTCATGGTTTTGCCTCTTAATCAACTTGGCATCAAAATCTGGCAACATAATTTTTGGTCGAAATTCATGTGTAAATCGTACCCCAAAATATCCCATATAGACATTGGTCAAATTTCCCACTCCCATAACTCAGTCAAATCTCATCCGATTTTCACAAGGTTTGGCTTTTTGTTCATGGTTTTGCCTCTTAATCAACTTGGCATCAAAATCTGGCAACATAATTTTTGGTCGAAATTCATGTGTAAGCCGTACCCCAAAATATCCCACATAGACATTGGTCAAATTTCCCACCCCCATAACTCAGTCAAATCTGATCCGATTTTCACGAGGTTTGGCTTTTTGTTCATGGTTTTGCCTCTTAATCAACTTGGCATCAAAATCTGGCAACATAATTTTTGGTCAAAATTCATGTGTAAATCGTACCCCAAAATATCCCATATAGACATTGGTCAAATTTCCCACCCCCATAATTCAGTCAAATCTCATCCGATTTTCACAAGGTTTGGCTTTTTGTTCATGGTTTTGCCTCTTAATCAACTTTGCATCAAAATCTGGCAACATAATTTTTGGTCGAAATTCATGTGTAAATCGTACCCCAAAATATCCCACATAGACATTGGTCAAATTTCCCACCCCCATAACTCAGTCAAATCTCATCCGATTTTCACGAGGTTTGGCTTTTTATTCATGGTTTTGCCTCTTAATCAACTTTGCATCAAAATCTGGCAACATAATTTTTGGTCGAAATTCATGTGTAAATCGTACCCCAAAATAGCCCATATAGACATTGGTCAAATTTCCCACCCCCATAACTCAGTCAAATCTCATCCGATTTTCACGAGGTTTGGCTTTTTGTTCATGGTTTTGCCTCTTAATCAACTTGGCATCAAAATCTGGCAACATAATTTTTGGTCGAAATTCATGTGTAAATCGTACCCCAAAATATCCCATATAGACATTGGTCAAATTTCCCACCCCCATAACTCAGTCAAATCTCATCCGATTTTCACGAGGTTTGGCTTTTTGTTCATGGTTTTGCCTCTTAATCAACTTGGCATCAAAATCTGGCAACATAATTTTTGGTCGAAATTCATGTGTAAATCGTACCCCAAAATATCCCATATAGACATTGGTCAAATTTCCCACCCCCATAACTCAGTCAAATCTCATCCGATTTTCGCGAGGTTTGGCTTTTTGTTCATGGTTTTGCCTCTTAATCAACTTGGCATCAAAATCTGGCAACATAATTTTTGGTCGAAATTCATGTGTAAATCGTACCCCAAAATATCCCATATAGACATTGGTCAAATTTCCCACTCCCATAACTCAGTCAAATCTCATCCGATTTTCACGAGGTTTGGCTTTTTGTTCATGATTTTGCCTCTTAATCAACTTGGCATCAAAATCTGGCAACATAATTTTTGGTCGAAATTCATGTGTAAATCGTACCCCAAAATATCCCATATAGACATTGGTCAAATTTCCCACTCCCATAACTCAGTCAAATCTCATCCGATTTTCACGAGATTTGGCTTTTTGTTCATGGTTTGGACTCTAAATCAATTTGGCAAGAAAAACTAGGAAGAATAAGACTCTTTTTTTTCATTTTGCAATAACATGTACATAAAACATTTATTTCAATCAATTGTTTTTTAGTGGATTTTTCCATTTTTCCAACTAATATATTGAATATTTTTTTTTTTAATATACGCTCAAAAAGACACTCAGATTTACAGAAAATTATTTATATTTATATATATATATATATATATATATATAGTCACAATTTGGACATATCGTATAATGCTTAGGGTCTAAAAAAGGCTATTAATGAACAAAAAAACTCTCGAGATGTACACGGCATATAAATAGTCATAGATTAAAATTTACACATATATATATATAGATATAGATATAGATATAGAATGTGGGCGTGAAGGACATTTAGATGATATACATATATAAATATAACTGTTGTTATATATATAGTTTTAATATGGGGCATACATATTACAGCTTGCATAGATCATATCGTAGTAGAATAAATATTATTACATTTAGTGGGCATTTTTGCATTTGATATTTGCTTTTGTACTAAAATTAAGCGTATTACATTAAACTATTTAATTTGATTTGCTTTTCTTCTTTTTCTTTTTAATAAAATATTGCACAATTTTGGATGAATTAGGAGGTAAAAAAAACAACGTGTACTCGAAAGTTTTTCCTCTTAATATATTATATAATAATTATAGATTTATGTAAATAACATTTGCTTAGTGTTTGGTTTTTGTTTTTCAATTGTTTTGGTCCTTTGGAATGTGTGTGTTTCGCTAGAGATTTGTTGCAGTTTAGCTATATATATTCGATCTGTTCTAGTCTTATATAAGCCATAGCATATCGAAATAGCAGCTGCATTGCGAATTCTATTAACAAATCATTTGGTTTATCTACAGTTCCGGATCGCTCTCCATATACTATATATAATATATATAGTAAATATTTGTAAACGATTCTCTGTGAAAAACAAGGCCATTTAAGAGTCTTTAAATATACACGTATTTCTATATATGTATATGTATATATATATATATATTTAGTTATATTTTCAACAATTCCCAACTTAACATAAATTGCACTAAAACAAAAACAAAGTCTTGAACTAAGCACAGAACTAACTGAACCAATTGCTACTCTAACAGTTTTTCGTTCTATATATATATTGTATACCTCTTCTTCTTCTCCTCCTTCTTGATTTTTCTTTTTTTTTTTTTGTTTAATTTTATATTTTTGGTCTAGGCTGCATTTTGGTGGCCTTCATTGAACAAAGGCAGTTGGCGAAAATCTTAACTTAAATCGAAGGCAACTATTTCAAAACGATGATAAACTAAGTAAAAATGCGAGAGTCGAGGCAAGCCGACTGCTAGATACTCTGTTTGGCTGCAGTGTCTGTGTGTGTAAATATTTGATATTTATATTTTCTTTACATTTTGTATGTTTAAGAAACATCAAAAGCTTAGAGAAAATGTAAAGCTTAAGCTAAAAGCAGCACAAATAAAAGCGACAGCGCAACAAGCTCGCTTTGAACTTAACCGAACAGGGTATACAGCTGGGAAACGGGGCGTATTGCTGCTTAGCTGTTTTTTTAAAACCACATGGCCATCAACTTGAAATAAAAAAGAAAAAAAAGGGCTATACCTGGTCATAATTACACACAATTTGTGTGTCAACACGCAAGGAACAGACCACACACACACGCGCACACGCACACATACAGAGTATACTATACCCTATATATATATATCTCTCTCGCGATATCTCTGGCTGTATCTGTAACTGTCTCTATCTCTCGCTATCTGCTGTTTGACCTCTGACGAGCGGCACTTTAAATTTAACCGCACCGACTAAAATGCTGTTACACTTAACTGATAAAAACATAATAAAAAAATAAAAAAAAAAACAAAAATATATATTTAGTGTTCTCTCTGTCTCGCTCGCTCTCGTACAAATTTATAAGTATACATAGATAAGTATTAATATATGGCTGAAATGACATATGCGCTCGATTTTAAAACCTAATTGCACGCGAGCTTCACCAACACACACAAGCACACATACACAAACACACATATAAGCATAGGTAGCTAATTGCGTATACGCCAGGTGTACGCGCCCGCCCTCTGGCCGGTACTAAGCTGCACGAGATTCGAATTTGTAATGTTTGTAATTTTAAAATTAATTTAAAAACACGTTAATTGCATGTCAAAATATTGCACAATTATCTAAAGTATTTATATATATATATATAATAATATATAATCTATATGCTTAACATTCAAATATAGGGTGACAAATATGGGCAAGACCAGGCCAGATTCCATTGTGAACATAGAACAAATCAATTAAAATTGTCAGCTTATGAATGGATCAGAAAATTACGGGTAAGAAAGCTCAAGTATTTAACATTTAATTGAATAAAATCAATCTGAGTAGATATTGTAATATCAATCAAAGACAACTTATCAATATTGATTATTATATATATATAATTAATCAAGGTAGGAAAACTTTCATTCATCAACACACTTTGCTGACGACTTTTTGCAAGCAAGTTCTTATGCCTTCACAGCTTTAACTTGTTGAGAATTACAAGCGGCAAGCAATGAGAAGTTAGAGAAAAGCAAGCAAAGCGTGCAAAACACATGTTCAGAACGAATTAGAAATAAATGAAAGAGCTTTTCCTGCTTTAAATTTTTGGCAAAGTCTGCGATTATATTATATAGGATATATCTTCAGTTAGTTAGGCTAAAGAGCTCAATAAAACCAATTGTTGTAGTATGAAATTAACTAATTTAGGCTTAAGCAAAAGCAAATTAGAATTTAAGGTTTATCTGGCTTTGCTGTCTTTTAACGTAGCTCAACCAAATAAATGGATATTACGAGCTGCAACAATTTGTCTCGCTTAACTGCAAGCTGTTAGGGTATACAAACTTCGGCTTGCCGTAGTTAGCAATTCCTTTCAATTCCTTTTTTCATAACATTATATTAATGCCTGGCTCTGGATATGCCCATATTTGCATTGAGAAATATCTATTTCATATGTATATACAATTTAAATAAGCGAAAAACTATTAAAATAAGTTAAATATATATAGGATATATGCCCGCATATAGGGTATATGCGCGCATATATATAGGGTATATGCATATTGAAAAAATGCCAACAAATTTGATTTTACATAAACAAGTCTTTTGAGATTCTCGAAATGTGTGTGTGTGAGGGGGTGTGTGAGGGGTATGTACGGGTGTGTGTGAGTGTGAGGGTGTGTGTTTGTTTGTGTGTGGATAATTTGAATTCAAATTTCTAATCCATTAGGCACGCCAAGTTGATTTTTCACGCTAGAACGACAAGTCCGACGACTCCGTCGCCAAATCCTGTTCCCAGTGCTCCGTTTGATGAAGGGTATTTCGGGTGTTTGTGTGAGAGTGTGTGTGTGTGTGTGTTGCAGCTATCTTTGGTTAACAGCGCGTCTTCCTGGACGTAGCCAGGCGTCGCCTTCTGTACTTCTTGAGCACGCGCTGGGCATGGTAGAAGCGACTGATATTGTTCTGGACATATTTGGCGTGGAGATACTTGAGGAACTGTCGCCGCTCGAAGCTCTTGTAGTTGTCCGGCACCACCTCCTCGTGGTGAATAAACTGTGGCTCCGGCTCGGCCAGCAGCTCGATTAGCTGCAGCGTATTGACCTGCTCCTGTTCCGGCTGAGCCGGCTGCTCCGGCTGCAGTTCGTCCGCTACCACGCCCAATATGTTCTCATTCATGTCGCATTGCACCACGTACAGATCGCTGCTGTTGTTATCGAAAATCTCGGCAAGATTAATGAGCAGCACATCCTGTCCATTGGCTACGGAGGCGGCGGCGGAGGCGCCTTCCAGCTGCTTGGCCACAATTTCGGTTTCATCTTCCGTTTCGTCCGCATCGGAGGTGACGCCTATTTGCTGATACATCTCGGCCAGCGCCTCCTCGACGCTCAGCTCGCGCGTAACCGGCGCCGTCGCCTCCATGGACACACCCGGCTCACTTATGACTAAGTCGCTAACTTTTAAGGAACTATTTAAGGCAATTTTACTAAGGTCACTTAGCTTTGGTACGTTGTTGGTCGGCTCCTGCTCCCGCTGCTGCTGCTGCTCCTCCTCGAGGTCGTCATCGCTCTCCAGAATTTGCTTGAGCTTGGCTATGTCATTGTTGGAGACTTGCGCCCGGCTGTCGCTGCTGCTGCTGGGCAGCAGCGCCGGTTCCGGCTCCGGCGTCGGTTTGGGCAGCGACAGCTCCTTCTCCAGCGCGGCCATCTCATTGAAGTCGCTCTCCTCGCCGGAGCAGCTGCCGCCGCTGCTGCTGCTCGTGCTGGAGCTGGACGAGGAGCTGCTCGAGCTGGCAGACGAGGACGAAGAGGAGGAGGAGGAGGAAGAGGAGGAGGCGGAGGAGGTAGCGGCTGAGTTCAAGCGGATATTGCTCGGGACTTCTTGCGCGGCCGGTTGCTCCGTACTCTGATGCAGCCAGCGCTGTATTTCCAGCTGTTTGTCCACATTCCGATCCACCTTCGTTTCCGTGTCCGCGCACAGCTTGGCCTTCGGCGACAGATGCGTATTCTCGACATCGTCGAAGCCCTTGAAGCTGCCCACGGACTGCAGCGTATGATTCGAGTCGCAGCCATTTTGCTGTTCCTCCAAGATCTGTGGCTGCTCCCGCAAGGCATAGCCACGCTTGATGACCGTCTCCCGATCCGAAACGGCGGTCTCCGTACCGCCCAAGCCCCTCAGGCTGCGTGGACTCCGCCTGGCATATTGCCGCTTGATCAGCGGCAGGCGATGCTCCGCCGTGCGCAGCGCCAGCTGTCGCCGCATCCGCTGACCGCGCTGCTCCCGCATCCGGCTCAGGGCATATCTCCGGCGGAGCAGCTTCAGCGTGCGGAAATAGAAGCGATGCTTGATCTTGGGACTCTCGAATTCGAGTATCTTCAGCATTTTGATGCGATTGCGACGACGTCGCGCCACCCGTTGGCGACTCGCCCGGGCCGAGGCCTTCGGCGAGAGCGAGATCGGAGCAGCTGCCGGGGCGGACTCCACAGGAGCTACATCAGCCGTTGGCTCCCTCAGCTCCGTCGGCTCCGCTGGCTCCGTTGTCCGGCGCTTGCGCTTGTAGAACTTGTGGCGATACTCGCTGTCGTCCTGGGCATTGTTTGGCTCCTCCACCTCGCTGTCGCTGCCGCCGATCTTGTGTATGAACGTCTCGTACTCCTTCTCGAACGTGGAGCCGTTCGAGTTGCTGTTGCTCTGATCGAACTCAATGGCGGGCGGGTCCAGCAGCGGGCTGGCCAGCGGCAGCTCCAAGCTCGGCTCCTCCTGCGCCACAACCGGATCTCGGAGTATTTCGGCCAGGGCATCCGTGTCGCCCGGCTGCGATTCGCTGGCCTCGATGCCGCACTTTTTCAGGCGCAGCTCGTCCAGTTCCTTTTCCACATCAAAGCTGCCAAAGGAGTCCTCCACCTGGCCCACGTTGGACTTCTCATGATGATGATCGATAATGATGTCCGGCAGATTCATGCTAGGGCAATCATTGACCTGCGTGGCCACCGGACCAGCTGGCGCCAGCGTCTCGTACATAAAGCCGGACGCCGTGGCAAGTGATGGAGCCGGAGCTGGAGCAGCTGCCACGGGCGCAACCACAGCAACTGCCGTAGTTTGCTGTAGCTCAGCTTCGAGTCGGACGGGCGCCGGCGGCAATTCCTCCTCGTCATCGTTCCAGCTGGACAGAAAGTCACGTATATTGGAGCTATTCGAGCTGGGCGGCGACTCCGGCTTGTGCTGCTGCGGCAACTGCGGCTGCGGCGCATAATGTGTCGCGGCGGAGTTTGCGTGCAGATCGTAGCCCACATAGCTGTCCACGGGCGCCTCCAGATAACAGTTGCTGCTGGGATTTGCCCGCTTGCGATAGGCATACTCCAGCGAGCCGGCGGCGGCGGCGGCGGCGGGGGGATAGGGCGGCGTTCGATGCGTTTGCTGGCCATAGCCGCTGTCCAGGCTGCCGAGATCATTGTAGTAGGCGGTGCTCACGTTCGCCTCCAAGCCCATGCCCACGCCCATGCCCATGGTCATGCCCACGCCCACGCCCAGCTGCGGCACATAGCCGCGACTATTATTGCTGGGCGTGACAGGATTGGGCGCGCCGCCATTGCCGCCCGGCTGTGCATAGCCATAGCCCAGCGGCTCGTAGCTGCCGTAGAGATCAGTCGGATGCTTGAGCTTGTGACTGCCGCTCACCTGGCTGGGATACTGTGGAGGAGGCGGCTGTGCTCCATAGCCATTACGCGGATAATAACAGCTTTGCTGCGGATACGACTGCGTGCAGCAGCTCTGCCTGGAACTGGGCGGAGGCGCCTGTTCCACCGGATTTGCCGGCCACATGCCGCGTGCGCCATAGCTCAGGTTCGCCTGATACGGATTGCTGCCCACCGCCACCGCCGCCGCCGCCGCCGACGACGACGACGTCTGACCCGTTGGGTACTTCTCGTACTTGTAGTACAAATCGCTGCCAGTTCCATGATGATAGGCGCCTCCATTTCCATTCCCATTGCCGTTGCCCGCGGCGCGACAATTGGCCGCATTGTAGTCGACATTCCAGCTGGACTTGCGGTAGGCGGACTCCGCCGACTGCAGCTCCGGCGGACTGTAGAGCGGCGGCGCGGGCGCACCGAAGCTCAGCCCGGCGCCGTTCGGCGAGTAAAGGGACATGGCATATTTGTCGTAGTAGGCGCCGCCGGCTACCTGTGCCGGTACGCTGCCAGGTGCGTTCGGACTGGCATAGACCGCTGCCGGCGGCATATTACCATAGCGACTGCTCGGCTTGATGGCGGCATAGTTGGGCTCGAGCGGCGGCAGCAACTGTTGTTGCTGTTGCTGTTGTGGCGGCAATTGTTGCTGTTGCAGCTGCAATTGTTGCTGCTGCAACTGTTGCTGCTGCAACTGTTGCTGCTGTTGTGGCAGCAACTGTTGCTGCTGTTGGCTTGGCTTCTGCTGTTGCATGGCCATGCTCTGATATTGCACCTGCTGCTGCTGCTGCACCTGCTGTTGCACCTGCTGCTGCACCTGCTGCTGCTGCTGCGGCGGCATCTTGTACTTGTAGGCCTCGTAGGCATAGCTGCTCGGCATGGACATGGCCATGCCCAGCGCTTGGGGTTGTGCATAAAAGGGCGTGGCTGCCGCCTGTGGCTTGCTGCTGCTCATCATGTTAACCCCGACCCCGCCGCCGACTCCGCTCCCGGTCCCGCCCCCGACACTGCTGTTGTTATTGTATTTGGGCGCGAGCTTCTCGTAGCTTCTCGAATAGTTGCTGGCCGCATTGTAATTGTAGGCACTGTAGTTGTACGCATCCAGGCTTCCATAATTATAATTCTGATGATAAAAGTGCGTTTGCTGCTGCTGTTGCTGCTGCTGCTGCTGCTGCTGTCGCTGATGATGGGCATCCAGGCTGGTTAGGGCTTCGCTGTAGAAGGGCGCCACCGTGGCGATGGTGGCCATTGGCGTTGCCGTTCCCTCATAATGGCCGCCGCCTGTGCCTATTGGCGTTGTGGGCGTGGTTGTGGCACTGCCATAACCACTGCTGGCGCTGCTGCTGCTGCCAGGGCCAGAGTTGCCGCCGCCGCCCCCCACAGCAATGGCCATGGCGGCCGAGTCCATGTTGCCAGCTGTAAATGCAAAAAGTCGAGCCACATAAGTCAAGTGCGAAGGCACATAAATAAAAGCTGCGAAAAGTGGGAGTGCTCCCGCAGGGTGTGCACGACTAGCAGATGCCCTAAAGCCAAGCAGCCCTCACACATATTCCTTCTCTTCCTTCCTTCTCTTTCTCCCTTCTCTTTCTCCCTTCTCTTTCTTCTTTCTCTTTCCTCCTTCTCTTTCCTCTTTCTCTTTCTCCCTTCTCTTTCCACTTTCTCTTTCTTCCTTCTCTTTTTTCTGCGCTTTCTTCTTTCTCTTTCTCCCTTCTTTTTCTTCTACTCTGTCTCCCTTCTCTTTCTTCTTTCGCATTCTTCCTTCGCATTACTCCTTCTCTTTCTCCCTTCTCTATCTTCCATCTCTTTCTTCCTTCCCTCTCGTCCTTATCTTTCTTCCATCTATTTCTTCCTCCACATTCTTCCTGCTCTTTCTTCCTTCTCTTTTTGAGAGACCTGGAATGGGAGCTTTTGTTTGATCTTCTTTAATGTCATATATATTATGAACTGAAGATTCCAGGACTATAAAAAATGTAAATAAGCTGGCAAAAATTGATGTTCACTTTCGACTAAAGTTGAAATACTTTATCATAAATTGCTCCTGGTCGAACATTGTATATTTTTTTTAATATGGATGTCGCCTAAGAACCGCTTTCTATATGGAACATAAAACTCTCTAATTTCTGTTGGGATCTAATCTCTTTTTTATGCATGATTGAAACATAGTTAACATATTTATGCGGTTTTTTTGAAGGGCATAAAAACGAGAGTTGACAATTAACCTTTATATAGGTATATTTGTGTGTGTGTGTGTGTATAAGCGTGTGCGTGTGTGTGTGTGCAAGTAATGCTTTGTTTACAGTGCCTCCCCCGTCCACATGCCCCATCCCCGCTTGCCAATACACACACACAGAGAGAAAGACAAACACATGTGCGCTGCACTACAGGAAAAAGCAATTATTCCATGGCATTTAAATGAAAAATGGAAAAGCCCCAAGCCACCCTCCAGCCCCAACCCCAACCCTTATTGGGGTTGTTGTTGTTTTTGCTGTTGTTGTTGTAGCTGGCGACTTTAATGGTCATAAATGTCGCATTTCGCGGCACGACGAGCCACGCGCAGGTCCTCTTTCAAGTGTGTCAATGGGGTTGATGTCTAAATGCTGGCTAGCTGGATGGGAATAACACCCCCCCCCCCCTTCCCTCTCTTTAGAACCAACCCGTTCTGGCCAGCAGAAAATGAAAAAACGAACTCGCTTCAACTTTGTGAAATGCGATTGTTCATTAAATATTAACGATTGCCGCCACCCAGCGCAGGGCAAACATGGACAATGCACAATGGCATAAACGGGGTAAAAAACGAAACAATTATACTTTGTTTATATTTTTTGAAAAGTTTCTCTTTTCAAGCATTTACTTTAAGACGGAGTTCCTGATTTCTGGCTGACAAACAGCCGACTTCGTATCTTATTGGAATCCGATAACAAAAGAATTGTATAATATATGCAATTTGTAGGAATTCTGTAAATTATCTTAACAGAAATTGGCTAAGTTAACTTCTTCTTTGTTAAGCAAGTTTGATGTTCTCTGTATTTCATCAAGAGAGCAGCTTGTCAATATTTTTCTCAACCTTTCGCTTAACAGCTTTTATTTGAACATATTAAGCTAACATATGTTAGCATACAGCTGTTTTTTTAACAGCAATTGGCTATGTTAAATTTATTATTATACCCTGAACCCATTATAAGGGTATATTGTATTTGTGCGAAAGCCAAATGTATGTAACAGGCAGAAGGAAGCTTCTCCGACCCCATAAAGTATATATATTCTTGATCAGCATAAATAGCCGAGTCGATCTAGCCATGTCCGTCTGTCTGTCCGTCCGTCCGTCCGTATGTATGAACGCAAGGATCTCAGAACTTATAAGAGCTAGAGACTTGAAATTTTTTAGATGTAGATGCTCCTAGTTCCCGCGCAGATCGATAATCGATAACTTACTCCGTTTCCAAGCAATCGATAAAAATCTATATCGATATCCTGTTTTTGGGCAATTTTGGTAAATAATAAGAACTAGAGTCACCAAACTTGACATATCGCTTCTTAAATAGAATATATATGCATTTGATGTTGGAAGAAGAGGGTTTAGGGTATCCCCTAGTCGGGAGCTCCCGACTAGAACCTCTTACTTGTTTTTAAATGTATTATGCAATATGCAACATTTTGTTATTTTACAGTATTTGCATTAACAGCTGTTGTCTTAACAGAAACTGGTAATGTTAAATATATTTTTTTGCAACAAAAATGAATTCTTTCGAATGTTATTGTTTTTAACGGAGACCGATTACATTTCAGCCACAGTGCAGTGTCGCAAAGGGACAGTGGGCCGACGACAGCACGTCTGGAGTACACGGTTGGGCGTGACGCCGGACGACGCTCAATGTCAACGCCCACAACAAAGTGTGCCGCACACACACACACGAGCGCGCGCGCTTACACGCACACTCACACACACGTACTTCAAAGCAAAAATATTAATTGTGGCGACCACGCCCCCAGCTAGACAGCCTTGCATATGAAATGTACTGCTTTTAGGTTTTCCCACTGACTGACACGAAATCCGACGGCGACGCCGCCGCTGACCACCTGTGACCAGCAGGCGCAGCAGGCAGCGGTCAGCGAAAGCACAAGTTGCAGCAGCTGCCGCCGCAGCACGCATACGCCCCGTGCTCCTCCGCTGGCAATTGTCATGATAAATGCACGACGGCGCAGCTCCACTAAAGTACACGGAATTCATTATGTTAATTCACTTTCGTTTGTTCGCGAACACACGTCTGTTATGATATGTGGAAGGCTGGTTGGGTTCCGATCGCATACCCTGCACTAATCACCCATTGATGGGCTTTTAGACTAATTGAGCGTATCGAATTGACTAAATCATCATCATTATGTTTATCGATAAGTGAGATCGAAAATCGAAATGACAGTAAAATAAAGATGAAAACAAACAAAACGAAATACTCTGCGATATGAGAAATGCGAAATATAATATTCTGAACTCCGCACTCAATTTTCTCAGTTTCCATTGACAAATCCTGAAAACACAGCAAAGCTTGTAATTGGTTAATGTTAACTCGAGTAGCCACGTATTTCATATATGGTATATACATTATACTATATAACTCATAGATGCTAAGTCGAGTTTTGGAACTTTTAAAATCGAATTGCTTTACATACTAAGCCACAGTATTTGTTATACCTGATCTCTATAAAACTGTGTCTAGGTATCGATAATTTTGGATGTGATTTCTGGAGGAATAAATAGCCTACGACCTATCGCTCTTAATGATATACCAATTCGATCCAATTATCTTTGGATATGTGCAGCAGCTTAGCTATAAAATGAAAGATAATTTATATATATATTCTATTCAAGAAGCTACATGCCAAATTTGATGACTCTAGCTTTTATAACTTACGAGATTTGCTCAAAAAACACGATTTCGATATCGATTTTCATCGATTACTTGGAAAAGAGGCAAGTTATCGATTATCGGAAATAAACTAGTACTGCGCGGGCGCTTGGCGGAGCTACGATCCAAATTTCAAGTCTCTAGCTCTTATAGGTTCTGAGATCCCTGAGTTCATACATACGGACGGACGGTCGGACTGCCGATCAAGAATATATATTTGTTATGGAGTCGGATATGCCTTCCTCTGCTTGTAACTTACATTTACACAAATACATTATAACCTTTTAACCCATTTTTAATGGATTTGGGGTATAAAAAATGTGTCTACCAAATTTCGGCGGGATAGCATCACAAAGAGCTTATTTAACATAGGTCACATGGATCGAAACCCAAAACGAAAACCTAAGAAACGTGTTATTTTTTAGTTTGGAAACGTCAAATATCAGAGTTTTAACCGGAAGTTTGAATAACGAAAAGGGAATTTCCACATTCGGTTTCAATCCCCATACATATGTATGTAACGGTAACCAGGCCAGATGTTGGGTTCAATTGGGTAACACCATAAACGACGTGTTGAATAAAACAACAAAACTGCACAACAAACAACAAAATTTATGCACAAATCGACTGCGACTTCAGAATCGACACAATTATGCTGCCATATGTTGATGTCCAAGGCGGCAGAGTAAGAAAAAAAAAACGCGCGCAACAGCCTCACACACGGCCACAAACACACAGACACACATGCACACAGATGCACACCAAGAGGTAGAGAGAGAGAGAGAGAGAGAGAGAGGCATAGCTCGTTGCACATTACTGTAGTTTATGGGCACGTGCTCGTTGCCTGACCGCGCTCGATAGTGTAGTATAGTTACGGGCTGAGAATCGGGCAGCGCTGCGTATGCGTAATTTTAATTAAATATTCCCGAAACTAAAAACAAAAAAACAAAGCAATTCTATTTAAACTTTGCGATGCGTGCGCGCGTGAAACTTTTTCATCTGTTGCCGCGGCGCAAGAGACGCAACGGAATGTGAATGCCGCTACGGCTGGCGTCGACGCAGATGCTGGCGCTAGCTGTGACGCTGGCGCCGCTGCCGACGCGGGCGACGCATACAAACAGAGCGGAAAGTCCTGCTTAAAGCAGGGCGGGTTGAAGCTAAACGGGACACTGGCACATGACAAGGCATTCACTGTTTGTGTGTGTGTGTGTGTGAGAGAGTGAATGAGTGAGCGCTTTTTTTTTCTCGTGTGTGTGTGTGTGTGTGTGTGTGTGTGTGCGTTGTTGTTGTGCTTGGGAAAACAAGTGGTTGCCGTGGTGAGAAAACAAGGCGCACACAACTTAAGCGCCGGCTGGCTAGCCCATGAGGTTTAGGGTGTGGGAAATGGACCGTGGGCAGGGATAGCTGGTACCTGACGTCTCTGCACATTTGACAGCTGCAGCGCCGGCGGAAATGAAAGGCAGGCATGTACACAAACACATACACACAGACACACTACGCTCGTAAGCAAACATGACAGTTGCATGGCAGCACAGTGGAACGACTAATGGATAATCATCTCAAATTATAGTTGAGTACGGATATTCAATAATTATAAATAAATGCGAAATCGATTGCAAGTTATCGATACCAAGTGCTGTTATCGATTCACAGTGAAGATAAGCGAGCCAAAAAAAGTCCCAAAACTATTGAATACTTTTTAAAACTAAGTCACAAGCGCTTAAGAGCTCTTTAACGGTACATTGAAAATGCCGATTTAGTTGTTTTTCGAATAAACAAATAGGGTGCAGTTGGAAGGTTCTTTAACATAGACAAATAAGGGTTAACTCATTATTTTAGTCGTCAATTCGTACAATTAATTTGGCAAGATCATAGCCCAAAAAAAAATGCAAGTCGTGATTTCTTTTAATTTTGCACCACTGTGCGTCGCCCCCAATGCAGTACACGCTCCCATTAACGGCTGGTGACTCTGCCTAACGGTACGATGGTGAAGCGTGACAAACAAGCGACAGGCGAACGGCAAGCGGCGCAACTGTTAACTGCAACAACAAACAAGACACAAGCAGACAAACAAATAGGCAAAACAAAATACAAATTAAGAAAATGTGCAGCAAATGATTTGCGCCGTCCAGGTGAAAATAGGACCAAACGTGGCCACAAAGCAAATTAAAAAACAAAAAAAAAAAACAAAAAGTTAAATTGAACAACGCAGCGACAGCGACTAATTGATACAAAAACAAAGCCAAAAACTGTTTTGCGGTTGCGTTGCAAAAAGGGAATTGACAAAAACAAAAACACACACAAATAGGCGACAAACAGCAGGAAAATAACAACAACGGCATCCATAAAAGCAGCGCAATCAAATGATAATAAAAAAGCCGCGATTACAGTGACAGCAACAGCAACAACAATAACAGTAACAACAACAGCAGCACAAGCAACAGCAGCAGCAAAGTTGGCAGCGCCGTCGCACTCACACACACACATTTGTTGATTATGCATGCGTGAGTGAGTCTCGCGTCGCTCAAAGGTGAAACGAGAATAGAGAACGAAGAGGCAGCAGAAAGCAGCCACAGCGACAGCGGCGTCGGCGCTGAAGCCACAGAAGAAGCAATAGCAGTTCAAATGCAAAACAAATTTCAAAAATCGAACAAAACGTACGAAAAAAAAAACAACAAAAAGCTGAAAAGACCAAAGCACAAAGCAAAAGACACAGTTGCCACGAGCGAGGGGTGAGGAAAGCCACCATAAATATTGATTGAAAATCAATAGGTTGCGTCCTCCCCACCGTCAGTCTGTCTATCTGTCTATCTGTCTGTTTGTCTATTTGTCAATTGTAGTTGTGAATTGAAGCCCTATGCGCACTTCCAGTCCAAGTTCCAGCCCACCGGCACAGTTACATACAAACATATGTATTTATGCCTATATACATGTGTACACACTGCTACACAGCTGTATTTCTATTTACATGCATATACATATGTACGTATGTGTGTATGTGCATGCGTGCTGCCAGCGCTGACAAGCTCGGCTTGATAATTTAAACACGTACGCTACCCCTGCCAGGCAGAGACACACACATATACAGCTACATACATATAGAGCAAAACAGACGGAAAAGCACAACAAAAGCAAAAACAACAAAAAATGTCAACACACTTTTGCTGTTGCCGCTGCCATTGTTGTTGCTTGTCGTTGCCTTTGTATGCGTGTGTGTGGTGGTAGGGGGGGGGGGGTCATTTTGGGCTATAGGCTGTAATCAACATTGTCGCTGTCGCTATTGGGGCGCAAAAAATGCCAAAAGAACAGAATAAGTAGAGCACCCCAAGTCTGCGTCGACTGCGACGCTGGCAGCATAAGCCAAACTCGCACACAGTGGACTGAGGGAAAGAGCGCACGAGGCAGAGAAAGAGAGAGTGAATGTGCAAGAGAACGCAGGGGGATTGGGGCAGCATGAAGCCAGCGTATGCACTGAAGCAGCAAATAAACCACGTATTCACACATACATGGAAGAGAGCTCAGCATTCATAAAGCACACGCACACACAGTTAAAATTACATTCACATACATACATATATACGAACCTCAACAGTTTTTCGACATTTTGTTGCTATTTTCGCTGTCGCAGTCGCTGCCTCTGTCGCTGCGGCGGTCGCTGCTGATGCTCACTTAAACGTTAAACGTTCTGCCGTTAGTTGGTTGTTATTGTTGTGTGTGTTTGTTTTGTATCTGCCGTTTCGCTTGATTATATTGTTGTTGTGCGCTTGTGTGTGCACTATTAGTTGTGATATAATTTGATAATATTCTTGTTGTTATTGTTGCTTTGACTTTTTATTTATTGCATTCAATTAACATTTTTGTACGCACTACAAATGCAAACGCGCGACGTCAACGTCGGCAGCGACGCGGCTGCCCCACTGCTGCTGCTTGGCACAAATTTTCATTTGCCAAGGTAACTGATAATACACTCTATTTTGTTGTTGTTGTTGTTGTTGTCGCTTTGTAAAAAGATACGTTTATGAAACAATTTTTGTGTAATTTGGTGGCCTCAGCTGGTGTCGACGACGCTTTTTGCACGAATTCAAGTTAGAGATACAGATACACGTACACAAAACGCGACTTTGAATGCAGCCGGCATTGACAGCGTTTCCAATTATTATTATTATTATTATTGCTGTTGTTGGAGCGAGGCTGGGGCAAGCGGGCGGGCGGGCAGAAGACACTGGCCGAACGCTGTACAGGTGGCAGCAGCGTGGCGAATTGAAATAGCAGCGCGTAAATTGTAGAGAACTAAATATATAACCGACACACACACTATATATATGTATGTACATATGTAGGTACGAGGAACGTAGACGTAGTAAATATAAAAGTTAATAACAACGCAAAGAAATAAACACACACACACACACGAACGAGCCGCCGAACGAGCAACGAGCAAACGGACGTGCGCTCTGTCTGAAAGTTGAGATACGAATGAGCAACGGTAAAAAACGGTGAGCCGGAGCAGAAGCACGCGCCAAAACGAAAGCTAGTAAAAGTTTAGAGCGCGCGAACGTTCTCTGTATTATTGTTCGTGTTTGTGTTATGTCTGTGTGCTGTGTGCGAGAGAACTTCATACAGGTGGTTTAGTCAGTTAATTGTTCGACAACCATGGTGTACAGTAGCCTGAGTTGGTGCTAATTGAATATGTCGTTCTGTATTTACAGTTAATACAACACGTGAGCGCCAGCTCATAATTAGCTGGTTTATGTTTATTCTTCTCCAGCCCAAGTTTACGCGCCAGAAATAGCTGTTGGGCGTTAGGCTGCCAGACTGTCAAAAATATATTGTATGGTAATCACAAGCGTAGCGCTGCCACACTGTGCCAGCAAACTAGTGCAATATGTAAACACAAGCACAGTGTTGCCACGTTCCGATAGCAAATTAATAAATCGATATACGCTATCGATAGCATTTGTGAAAATCAAGCGAAAAATTGCGGACGCGAGTACGTAAATTTGATTAAAAATCTAAATAAAGTTGTTTAAACAAAACTAAATTGTTAAATTGAAACATGGCTGAAGAGTGGCAGAGCCAAAACTTTCGGCAGAATGTCATCTCGAAAATGTGAGTAGTCTTTTTTCAAGATAATATTGTCTTCTTAATGAGGCTTTCCTATGTGTGGCAGCCACGACATGTTGCCGCAAAATGGGCCGGAGCCCAATAAAAATGCCAGCATGATGGAAAATCATATTTTTCGCAAGTCACACACTAAGGATGAGTACCTGGGACTGGTAGCCAAATTGTTTATGCACTACAAGGACGCGTCCCAGCGCAAATCGCAGCCACAGCAACAAAGGCAACAGCAACAACAACAGCAGCAGCAGCAGCTCCAACAACAACAGCAACAGCCTGCCCCGTCGAACGCGGAAATGGGACAACAGAACATTATGCAGGATCCGTTGAATGCTCTGCAAAACCTGGCTAGTCAGGGCAATCGCAATCCACAACTGATGCCAATGGGCGGCGCGCCGGGCCCAAATCAAATGGCCGGTCCCGGTGGACCGGGTACTGCCTCCAATTTGCTGCAAACACTGAACCAGCAGCGACCCGGCCAACAGCAAATGCAGCCCATGCCCAATATACGTGGCCAATTGCCCATGGGCGCCGGCGCCGGGGGACAACAAATGGTACAAGTGCAGCAAATGGCTGGCGGCAATGGACCTGGCGGTGGTGCTGGCGGCATGCAGCTAAATGCTATGGGACCCGCCGTTTCGCAGGGCCAGGGCCAGATTGTGGGCAATGCCGGCGGCATGCCCAATCAAATGGTGGGCCCGGGACCCAATAGTGGACCAACTGGCGGTGCAGCCGGCGGCATGCCCAACCAAATGTCGCCCATGGTGGTGAGTAGTGTGTCAGCATATTGCAAAAATTGTATACATATTCATAAATTATATATTAGATGGGCATGGGCAATCCGATGATGCGTATGAACCAGGGCATGCAGGGCATGCCATCCAATATGCAGCAGCAGCAACAGCATAATGTTGTGGGCGGACCGGCCGGACAGCAGCAGGTGGGCGGACCCGGCGGCTTGCCGCCCAACGCAGTGCAACAGGGCGGCGGCGCTATGAATCCCATGGCCGGCATGAATGTCAATATGCCGCCCAATATGCAGCAAAAGCCAAATATGGGCATGGGCCAGGCGGGCCAAATGTTTGCGGGCAATCGCGGCGGTGTTGTTGGCGGCCAGCAGCAGCAGCCACAGCAGCCTTTCATGCGATCCAGTCCCTCGCCAGCTGATGCACAGCAATTGCAGCAGCAGCAACAGCTGCAGCAATTACAGCAACAACAACAGCAGCAGCAGCAACAGCAGCAACAACAACAACAGCAACAACAACAACAACAGCAATTAGTGGGCAACCAGACGCCCACACAGCAGCCGCCTACACCACAGATGCCCACACCACAAATGATACCCAGCCCGGCCTTGGTGCCGCAATCGAGCCCGCAAATGATGATGCAGAACACGCAACGCAACATACGCCAGCAATCGCCGAGCGCATCGATCAATACGCCCGGTCAGGTGACAGGCAACAGTCCATTTAACCCGCAGGAGGAGGCGCTATATAGAGAGAAGTACAAGCAGCTGACCAAATACATTGAGCCGCTCAAGCGCATGCTGGGCAAGATCAGCAACGATGGCACCAGTCAGTCACAACAATTTGTCAGAAATTATGTATTCCAATTTGTATTTGTGTTTGCAGATGTGGAAAAGATGACCAAGATGAGCAAATTGCTGGAGATTCTATGCAATCCCACGCAGCGTGTGCAGCTGGATACGCTGCTCAAGTGTGAGAAGGCGCTGGAGAAGATGGATCTGGTCTCCTACTCGGGTCAGCAGTTTGGTGTAAGTTAATGCCTCTCCCGTGAAACTGCTCTCTAAACTTTAACACTTTAATAGAAATCGTCGAATCCTCTGCTGGAGGTCATAAATACAACGCTGCAGAGCCCATTGGCGAATCACACGCTGCATCGCACCTTCCGGCCCAGCTTGGAGCTGCTCTTTGGCACAGATATATGCGCGCCCGTGCCCACAAAGAAGCCGCGCCTTGAGGAAAAGACCACGCCATTTGAGCAGGATGTGCCGCATGTGCTGCAGGGCGAGATTGCACGGCTCGATACCAAGTTTAAGGTCAAACTGGATACGACCGCACAAAATAATAACAAGACAATACGTTTGATATGCTGCTTGGATGACAAGCGTTTGCCCAGCGTGCCGCCAGTGAGTGTTAGCGTGCCGGAGGAGTATCCATGGCAATCGCCCGATTGCTCGCTCACCGAGCAGGAATATTCGGCCACGCCGTTTCTGCAAACCGTGCAACAGGCACTGATAGCGCGCATGTCCAAGCTGCCAAAGAACTATTCACTCTCGCATCTGCTGGACACCTGGGAAATGGCTGTGCGTCAGGCCTGTTCGCCGCAATCCAAGCCACGGGCCATGTGCGAACTAAGCACGCTCTTGGGTATATGAACTGCAGCCCTCACGGATCCAAAGATCATTTGCCTCAGCTATATATAGGAATAACAATGCAGAGATCTCTTCGGGCTGTTCTACCCTATATTTCTATAAGATTTGATATAGTTGCCAGGAGCATTAGAAGGTTATATTCGTCTTCTGGAAATGTATTAAGTGGTAACTACTAAATCCTATAAAGTATGTATGTAAATGCTTAATCCGAGTCAATAGCATACTCGGAACATTTTCTGACGCGTCAATTTCCCACTCGAATATAAATTTCTATGATATGAATATTCTGGTTTTATAGAGACCCATATTTTTACGATTTTTGTACCTTAGTCAGATCGTCTTTAAATTGATGCCAATTCAATTCACTTTCTACCTGATATTATTCCCTTATGTTATGATAATTAAATATCCATAAAATCAATTATGTAAAGTATAACTATTAATTACAATAATAATCAACCACAAAGTGTTTAACGAGCCGTGTTTACCCCAAAAACCCTATTCGAAAATCGATATCGGAATTTTAATGAAGCCTTTTAGCCACTGATTGAAGCAACAACGATTCATAAACAATAAGGGCGTCGAATTTATCGAAAATCTTGGTAAAAATTTAACTGATTCAATTTCCGACCAATTGGACAATTATGTGAAAATGATTATCTACGAGTTCACTCTTCACGTTGGTCCCTGTAAGCACCTCTCCGATCTCTATACCAACAGTCTTGAGCACGTTTGCCAGCATCTAATTGACCCGATCGTAAGTAGCCCAGATTAATCCATAATTATCTCATATCCATTAACATCTGATCAATTGCAGAATGCATTCTGGGTGGGCGTGCTGCTTAGCGCCCTGTTGCTCCTCCCGATCCTGTATGTGGCCCATCGACTGATCTGCCTCTATAGGGTATATCCAGTGTATGTGGCCAAAATCCTATATCTGGAGCGCGACGGTTACCCGTAAGTAGTCCCATTCGATTACCAGCTACGACTGCCAGACCGTAACGATCTGACAATCTCCCTCAGCTGTCCGACCTGCTCAGGCCTCCCATATAGGCCCAATCCGGTCATCATCTGCGGCGGTGGCCAACAAGATGGAGGCGACTGCCCGTGCATAGACACTCCAATCCAAATATCTGGGTTGGGTACAACAACCGGCGACGCCTACAAACGTAAGCGTGAATAAGTAAGCATCAAATTTAAGCTAAATATACGAATGTTTGCCTAATTTTGTATAAATAGGTATTGAAATAGGCAATCAAATTTAAATGATACTTGACATTGATTTAGACGCATAGCTAACTTCAAGGCCTACTACAAGTTAAATAACAGACATGAACATTTCAAAAATCGGACAATAAGCACCGAAGAAGGGCAGAGCAAGCTTCCGCTTTCACTCGGATGCGTGGATTCTATGAAATTGGTGAAAGACGTTTTTTAAAAGTTTATTTTTTAAATCAAATGGGTTAGATCAAGGCCTTTTTGATTGAAGTGTCAATTTGCTGAAATGCTTTTGCTAGATCAACATGGTGCTCATTTTATTTATGGAAATTACATTGTATGGTTCAGATTTCGTATTTGTATTTAATTATTTATTTATTTTAGTTTTAATTATAACACATCGAGCTGATGCAAACAGAAAACGTATGCAAAATCGTTGTTGTTAAATTTTATATATTTTTACATGGTGTCGGAGAGCACGAAACTCTGCCAAGATGAAGAAGGTCAACTGGTTGATCCAATGTCTGGTCGCATGCACTTCCATGGCATTCGTGGCCTGTGCCGAGGATGTTGTGTGGCGCGAGGGCTATCAGGGCCATGGCACCGTTCACGAGCAACTCGGCCAGCCCCATGTGCCCGACCCCATGTTCAGCGAGTACGTGCCGAAGACAAGACATAGAAACATTACCAAAGTAAGCCATATGAGCTTGGGTCCAGTCAACGTTATAGCAAATGGCCTTCTTCACCTTTTCTATAGGCCGGGCAAAATGCAGTTAAGTGGTGGGTATATATATTGATATATACATACAGCTGCAACATCTCATCGATCTCCCTATTCTGTAGATTATATTACGGTTTCGAACGGCAGCACCTTAACCATAGAGCGCAAGATGAAATCGAACGACTGGAAGAGTTTGCTGGCCGCCAATAAGCTGCTAATATTGTGGTTGCTGTTCTTCCTGTTGCTCATATTGGTCATACCGATCCTTGGGTAAGCCAAATAGTTGTCCATCTGCAGAGGATAGAATCTAATTGAATTAAATTACAGGATATTGTATTGTTCCTTGTGCTGGTGTCGCTGCAAACGAGGCTGTCCGCCGTGCACGTCGCAACGAGATGCCAAGCTGCGTGTGGTGTTCAGTGTAATCATGGTTATCCTGCTCATTGGATTGATGTAAGTCTGAAATCTCGGTGCCGGAAGTGGGATCCGTTTCTTAATTGCCGCCAGTGCACACAGAATTGGGACCATCATTGCGTTCATTGCCAATAAGCAGATCAGTCGAGGCGTGCGCTCTGCCAAGGAGAGTCTGTTGTCCTCCGGCGAGGGTATCTGCGCCTTTCTCAAAGGCATCTCCGATCATATTGACCATTTGGTCATCACCAATTATCAGGAGCTGAAGGAGCACCTAGTCGAACAGGCAACTGGTATGCAAATTATTTCGCCTATGTAGAGCTTCTTGGGTATATAGATAGATATATAGATATACATCCAATATCATAAGATCTATGCCTTTGCATATGTATTCTACGTTGTTACTTTATTAATTTTGTTCATATGATGCGATCCCCGCAGATGCGTATAAGCATCTATTTTTGGATCTAGCTGATACTTCCGATGGGAATGCGTTGGTCGATTTGGAGCGAGTATTGCAAAACATGCGAGAGGCGAGAGCACGAATGAAGTCGAATATTTGGAATGTGGATAGACTTGTGTTCCTTGTCGCCAATTTCCGGGATGGTAAGTAACTAATTCATATACTCAATCTATATATACTATATAACTATCTTGTTTGATTGAGTGTCTGTCTGTCTGATTGACTGACTGATTGACTGACTGATTGACTTACTGATTGATTTACTGATTGACTTACTGATTGACTTGCTGATTGACTGACTGACTGAGTGACTTACTCATTGACTTACTGATTGACATACTGATTGACTTACTGATTGATTTACTGATTGACTTACTGATTAACTTGCTGATTGACTGAGTGATCCACTGATTGTCCGACTGATTGATTGACTGACTGATTGACCGACTGAGTGTTTAACTGATTGTCTGACTGAATGACTGATTAACTGAGTGTCGGACTACTTGACTGATTGACTGAGTGACTGACTGATTGTCTGATGGTGTATCTGACTGACTGTCTGCCTGAGTGTTTAACTGATTGCTTGACTGACTGAGTGTCTGACTGATTGACTGACTAATTAACTGACTGACTGATCAACTGACTGAGCGAGTGACTGTCTGATTGATTGACTGACTGACTGATTGTCTGACCGACTTACTAAATGATTGACTGATTGATGGATCCGATTTTAAACGACAAAGTGAAACAAGAAAGTGAATTTCTCCAAAATAGTGTGGAATCTTATCTATCTATTGTATATTTAATCTAGCCATGCGTTACTACTATCGTGAGACGTATCGCGGATTTATCATTTTATGTCAGAGGCCACAGTGTGATGAGAAGATGATATCTTTTGGCTTTCAAAGTTGGGTAACCAAATGTATGCATTTGGATGGGGTATGCACTTCAGATCAATTACAAAATTTTGAAAATAATTTAGTTGTTTTTTTTTAGTTGCCTAACTCAACCAAGTTTTGGGGGGCAATGGATAAATCAGTTAAACTTAACTTAGAAAATATACCAAGGCTAGGTATAAAGCGCCTATGGGAAGTTGGTGAAAATTTAAAAAAAATTATGGATCCGACTATTCCGCCGTTAATTGCAAGGTTGGATCGATGCGGTGACCTGCTCATACAGCAAAGGGAAGATTTAAAGAAAATTATCGACGAGATGCTGCACAATGCTAACGATAAAACAATAAATTCTGCAAAATCATTAGATAACATTCTAACCAACTTTGGTACCGATCGCACTGCTATTAATATTATTGTCTGCATCACTTTAATGTTGGTAAGTCCTTGAATACCATAAAGAACATGACAATCCCCTTGACCCCCTTCGCCAACGACAAATATCATTTCAGTGTTGCCACCCTGTCGTATGCACATGTGGCAGCATCGAAAAATGTGTGTCAATAAAGCACAAATAGGAATTACCCCACTCTCGAAATCGGTAATTATTGAGGTAACATTGTGCTAACATTGTCTGTTCAAAAGGAGCTATTTTCTCCGAGCTCAGGATAAAAATATATGTATTGCGCATAGAACTGTTTAGATCGCCAAAAGTTACATTGATATATCAATATCGCAATGAGCGATGAATATATCGATATGTGAATAATAATCGAAATGTGCAAGCATCGATACTACTAGCTACGACTTTTTACCGTTTAAACTGTGCGAACGTGTTGTGTGTTGATTTCGTAATGGATATATTACCTTTTCATTTCAGATAATTGTCATGTTGATAATTGGCCTAGTATGGGGCATGTGTGTGCGTGCAAACAACCTGGGATCTGGTGCCATGCTAGTGTAAGTAGTTGATTGCCAGGCTGCCTTGGCACTTGGGAGACATTGTTATTTGAAACATTTGAAAAAAACTTACAGATCCGTTCTGCTGATATTTTGCGTGTTCTCGTTTATAACGATTGTTGGACTATTTTATTTTATGCTTGGATTTCTCACATATAATGCTGCCTGTCGATCGACTATTACCACAACGAACAGCTTCATGGATTCCAGGATCAACGCACCCGTTGCCGATGAAGAGCAGGACAGAAATGCGATGAACACGACAACAACGACAATTTCGAAAAATGTGTTCGACTGCAAAAGAAATGGAACCTTTTTCGATTTGTTGAAAGAAAAGGGCCTATACGATGTCATGAAATTAAAGGGCATGTTGCAAATAGACGAGGCTGAAAATGAATTTAAATGGCATTCATTTAAAGGCGATTTGTCTCAGATGGCGCTGATAACTCACAGAGAGCTGCGTTTGCTTTATAAAGTCCTGCAGCCATTGTTTTTTTATCGTAGCCGTTTATATACGGATGTTCTCTGTCTGCCAATGACGCGTACTTCCTTACAGGATATGGACGATTTGGTAACTAAAACGGGGTTTAGCTTAATTTACAACTTTTTTAAGGGCCGGACTGACTATTCAAGAATGTGGATGAGCTCTTGTAGCTATTTCACAGTCAGTCGTGATATACAACCATTTAAGGAAGTAGAAGCTGAAATTCCAAAATATGTTAACAAAATAAAGAGCAACTTGGAGGTGATCGATAGACTTATATTGTCCGAAAACTTGGATTTTAATGAAACCTTTCAGCCAATGATTGAGGCAATAATCCGAGCTCAAGAATTCATAAACTATAAGGGCGTCGAATTTATTGAAAATCTTGGCAAAAATTTAACTGGTTCAATTTCCGACCAATTGGACAATTATGTTAAAATGATTATCTACGAGCTCACTCTTCACGTTGGTCCCTGTAAGCACCTCTCCGATCTATATACCAACAGTCTTGAGCACGTTTGCCAGCATCTAATTGACCCGATCGTAAGTAGCCCAGATTAATCCATAATTATCTCATATCCATTAACATCTGATCAATTGCAGAATGCATTCTGGTTGGGCGTGCTGCTTAGCGCCCTGTTGCTCCTCCCGATCCTGTATGTGGCCCATCGACTGATCTGCCTCTATAGGGTATATCCAGTGTATGTGGCCAAAATCTTATATCTGGAGCGCGACGGTTACCCGTAAGTAGTCCCATTCGATTACCAGCTACGACTGCCAGACCGTAACGATCTGACAATCTCCCTCAGCTGTCCGACCTGCTCAGGCCTCCCATATAGGCCCAATCCGGTCATCATCTGCGGCGGTGGCCAACAAGATGGAGGCGACTGCCCGTGCATAGACACTCCAATCCAAATATCTGGGTTGGGTACAACAACCGGCAACGCCTACAAAAGTAAGCGAGAGTAGGTGCGTATCGACAGCTCAATTTAAATTATTGTTAAATATACTAATTTTTGTTACAAACTGTGCCAAATTTAAATGTTTAAGACATGGCCTAATCAGCTACAGGTGTTTATTCATTTTGTGGCAGGAGAAGCTCTTTATATAGATAGATATATATTTATTTAAAAGCCAGTATTTATCGTTCGTATTGTTTTACAGAGAGTCAAGTGAATCTCGTAATTACTGAGTTATATATCAGACCAACTGTATATACTCCACAGTGTCGTTATTTTTAGCGAGGCCTCGATCCCTCGATCTAGCGTATTCAATGATCATCCTATTCGATCCAAAGATTCCCCCACATTCGATAGACTTGATTTAAATATTTATACGGAAAATATATTTTCGCATTGTTTTTTGTTTTTGTTTTCTTGAGATTTGTACCTTGGCTTTGTACCAGGTATTTTCCATGCTTATTTTCTTCACATGATGCAATAAATACAATTTCGTTATGATTACAAAAAAGTGTAAGAGCGTTAATTATTGTACAATAGAGAAAGAGTTAAGAAAACTTAAATATCACAGAATTGTAGCTATATAGTATATAGTATATATATGCACTAGGTATTTTCAGAAGAGCTCTAAACTAAAATGTGTGCTTGGAAACATGTTGTTGTGCAGCATATCCATGGACATAAGGACAATTGTGTAATATGAATCTAGAATAACGATGACAAGAAATAGCTCTTAACTAGGTCTTAAACTATAACGCCAGCTGGCCCGCATATGGATGTGCTCCAGTTTTGTGATTGAGCTGGTTCATACTGTGTCGAGATGAGATTGTGGTCCGTCTATTTATCGGGCTTGAACCGCCGACGCCGCTGTTGCCACAAACGGGGACGATCGATGCTGTTGCAGGCGCAGCAAATCCGGCGCACTGTAGATGTGTAGACTGCTGGAGGATTGGCTCGACGAGGCGGACATGCGTTGTGATTGTGGACTCGAGGCGGAGACGGCAGCGACAGCAGCTGGTGCTATTGCGCGCAGCTGTAGCGTTGGCTCGCACAGCGCAGTCGCCGTCGTTGTCGTCGCCGCAGCAGCAGCAGCAGTGGCAGCGGCAGCTGCTTCGGCGGCCGCCGTGGCAAAGCTGACATTGCGATTGACTCCGTTCGCCTTGTCCTTGTTGTGGCGCTTCACGTGCTTGGACAGATGATCGCTGCGCATGAACTTCTTTGAGCAGACGCCGCACTGGAACTTCTTTTCGCCGGTGTGCGTGCGCTTGTGCCGCGAGAGCTCATCGGAGCGGGAGAAGCGCTTGTCACAGTTCTCCCATTTGCATATGAACGGACGCTCCCCAGTATGGACGCGCTGATGTGCCTTCAGGTGGCTGCTCTTGAAGTAGTTTTTGCCGCAATCAGGAAAGCTGCACTCGTAGATGCGGCTGCGTGTGGCCGCCGCCTGGGCGGCGGTAATGCGTTTGCCTCCCATCGAGGACAAGGCTGGAGATGCGGATGAAGTTGGAAGCTGGCTTGGTAATTGTGGCTGTGCACCGGCGGCGGCGGCGGCAGCGGCGACAGCAACGGCAACGTTGCTCAGCAGCAGCAACTGTGAGTTTGCAGCAGGTGCTGCAGCTATATAGACGCTCGTCGCGGACGCTGGACAGGATGTGTTGTTTTGCTGGTCCGTTGCTGACGATGGTGTGCTGCATGGTTCCACGGCAGTTGGTTTTGTTGTTGCCGTGGGTAGTGCCACCTCGGCGGCACGTTTGCGATTCATTTTGTATTTGAGATTGCGCCACACATTCTCCTCCGGATAGTCATCGGCAATGGGTGTGCCGAGTGCGCCAGTATTGGAGCAACTGGAGCTGGAGCTGGAGCTGTTCTCCTCATTGGTTGAGGAGCTGACCGTGCCCAGGCTATTGACGCGCATAATGACGCTGACGCGTTGCGCCAGTGCATCCTCCGCCTCCTGTTCGTGTTCGTGCTCATGCTTCAGCTGCTGCTGCTTATCGGGTGGAGGCGTTAATGTAACCGCCGGCTGTTCCAGGCGCGCCTTTTTGCATGGCAGCACATCGGCGGCATCGTCCTCCGTGTCCGAGGGATTGGGTGTTATGATGCCGGCGCCAGTTTTTTGACTCTTCTGATTGGCGACCAGTTTTAGCTTGGCCTTCAGCAGATTCTCATTGACCTGTTGTTTGTCCTTGGCGGCCTAAAAGGTGAGAGAAGGGAAGAGTTCGATTAGCAACGGGTTCAATAAACACATTCACTTATACCCTGCCTGAGTTGACCTACAATAACTTTTTGCAGCGGGTGCAAAACCACGAAAATTCGCTAATTAAAGTGCGCGGGCGTCGACGTCGACGTCGACGTTGGCGTCGGTTAACAGCGACAAGGCCGTTCACATTTAACCTTAACCCGCCGCAACGGCCCCCACGCGAATTGAACTGAGCCCAGTGCGGGGTTAATGCACGTCGCGACTTTATGAATTTTTGTATACCCTGCACACAGTTCAATCGGGTAATATACACGCAAAATAATAGTGACGCCTTGAAATGTGTCGCAAATTGTCTACAGGGTAGCTACCGGTCGGCTACTATCGGCCATGTCATTTACTGGTTTTGTTTAATGCCAGTTTTTTGAACTTTCGAAAGCCTTTTTGGCCATAAATGAAGAATATTTTTGTATTTGCGTCGCAGCCCAAAAGCATGCATTAAAAATGGCGCTGCGTTCAATGATTTTTATGGGCTCGGCACGTTACCGTTTCTAAGTGTGCGTGTGTGTGTTTGTGTGCGTGTTTTGTTTGTTTGCTTGCGGGCCAGATAAGCCGAAAGCGAAAAAATGTGACATATTTTATGTGAGACGCTGCAGTCGACGTCGGTGCCTGTCTGGGGCTTGGCTGTGTTTGTTTTTGTGCCGCTTGCCTTTTCTAATTGGCAACTCACCTTCGCGCGCTCTCACAATCGCACACACACACACACACACGCACGCGAATGCTCTCAAACAAATGCGCTCCTCTGACTACGTCAGCAGCGCAATTGGGAGACGCTCTCTTTGACGCGCTCTCAGCAACACACAAGGCGCGCAAATATAACTACGACATCTCCACATTGCTGTGGAGTCCAATGTTCGCCCTATATGTGTGCATGTGTACGTGTATGTGTGCGTTTGTGTTTGTGTCACTCGCTGTGCATGCGGTGTTCACGTGAAAGCATGCCCGCTGCGTGATCGCATAGCGCTACACTAGAGCGAACGAGATGCGAGACTTTTGTTTTTAGAAATGCGGCGAGTGCAAGCGAGCGGGCACTACACTTAATGGTTTGCCTTGCCATATATATTTTTTTTTGTTGCGTGATTTGTCAAAAGCGAAGGCGTCTCCACTGTCTGGGGGCACGAATTAAATGCGGGAATTCGCTGTAGCTGTATATATGTATGTATATGTATGTGTGTGTGTGAACGTGTGTGTGCAGGCTGCATTTTTCGCATTTAATTTTAATTAGTTTGCACTGCACTAATTTACACACATTTACACGCTCCACTTTGTAGGTCAATCTCTTTGAGCTCTGAGTCACTTGGACTTACGTTTTCCACTTTGTTATCCCGAAGCGGGGGCGTTGCAGGCGGCGACGGCAGCAGCAACGTATCCATATCCATTGTGTATGTAGTAAATATTATTTAAATTTTTATTGAATTGCACTTTGCACTTATTCAACTGTCTTTGGCACCTGCACAGAGAGTTACTGCAGGGGCACTGGAGTCTATTTGGTTTGGCTTGTTTTTCTTTCTTTTAATTTTTCTTATCACTTATCTAAATCTGTGTGAGCACTTTTTGATTTACACAAGATTTTTAGCCTTTTTATATAGTTTATTTATTTTTTTTATATATATTTCACTAGATGCGGCTGCTTGAAGAGAGCCCGAGTGAGCGAACCGTAGCGTTCAGAATTCAACAGACGAATGAACAACATTCAGACTGCGAGCTTCCACCAGACCATCGCTGTCGCAGCGCGCGCACACACTCACAGGCATACGAGCTGGTGAGAGTGTGAGAGTGCAGGGAGCGCATGCTGTCGACGTAATCACTTGCAAGTGTACTCTGCAGCGGTAGCCGAAACGCGCGGGGGTGTGCTGGGCGTCTGTACAAAAATCGTCATCGAATATGTCGGCGAAGCAACCAGTGCATTGGAACCCAGCGGAGGACATAACTGCGGCTGTAACTGCCTATGTACGTACGTATTTCGGCATCAGGCAGTGACAACGTGGGCAGCTCTCGATAGAGCGGGGCGCGTGTCACGTCCCGAGCACAAACCAAAACTCACAAAACACGACTTTTCAAATATGAAGTATAGGATACAGTTACAAACTTTTGAACTTTCCTTTTTATTTGAGTAAGTGAAATTTTTCTTTTCTATTTCGAAATTTTTTCCAAATTTAACAATATTATTTTCATAAGCATTTTCAATTAACAAAACATTTTATGTTAACGCCCCTTCAATTTCTGTGTTAATTCGTGCGCGTGATAAAGCGTGCATGTTTTACTAGAATTTTATTTTGTAAGCCGATTGAGGCTCGTGTCACGAAAGCAAAACTCACTACTCTAGGTATTTATAGTACGCCCCCGCAGCGCTTACATATGGCCGAAGCGTAGGGGCTGTTTGTGTTGTGTTGGCGGTAAAAGGTCAGGTCTGTGCCCACGCAGGGCCCTTAGCAGGCAGAAGGTAGCGACAAACACACTAAGAGCACGTAACAAGCGCATGGACGTCATCAGCTGTTTACCACACGGCTCTCGGCCGCGGGGCGTTCGGGGGAAAACACAAAATTCCATTGGAGCTATCTATTCATAGCTGTTGTTCATGCACATGAAGCGTGCACAGCAAAGGCAAAAACAAATACACACAAATGACACACATATATATATATATATATATATATATATATATATATACGTACATATATATATGTATGTATGTATGTATGTAGCGAGAGGCACACACAGACACACCCCGAAGCCATGGTTGAGTCTGAGGCCCGGCCATACCATTGACGCCGCCAAAGCTGAAGCTGCGGCTGACGCATTTGTTGCTACGGAAGTTCGTGATTAAGCGCTTAAGGCAGAAGAAGAAATAAACACAACAAAAAAGCAGGCTTGAGCTTGGACTGGTCAGTGGCTTTGTCCAGACAGACAACACTTTGGATCAGCATTAATATATCGGCTTTACTGCATATATTTGCATGTACATTAGCCGCATTGTCCGACATGGGGGCAGCTAACACACACATCAACATGTGTGCAAAAGTCCAGACGCAGACAGATTTCATTAATGGGCAAAACCCGTACGGCGTGGTGTGGGGTCTATAGCTACGCTCACCAGTTGAGCTCACCGCGTTGCCAGCTGCAAAGAAAATCGAGCGCAAGTTAAGCCAAATAATGTTAGTTGATGACAGTTGACTTGATAATTTAATGCCCACGCTTAGCGGCTTGCTACTCACAATTCGTCAAGAGTTAGTCAAAGGCATTTGAGTCTGGCAACGCTGGCCAAGCCCGTAACAGTTTCACAAGCAAAAAGGGGCTCGTGCCACTCACAGACAATCAGCAGAGCGCCAGAGAGCAAGAGCAAAAGAGAGAGAGAGAGAGAGAGAGACACACATCAAACAGCTGTGACTATTTTATAGTGTGGCGCTCTTGCGCAACAAAAACAACAACATGGCGGGAGAAAAACTGAAACTAGCACGCCATACAAAACACGCGCGAGAGAGTATTATCATTCTGTGTATCACGCGTTGACCTCATGATGTTCACGTGAACATTTGTTGATACTTGCCAGCCCAGCTAGCAGCTAGTATAGGCCGCTGCGAGCGGTCGGGCAGGTGGACGGTAGAAGGCGGCGTGCCTATTTCACTATTTATGGCTGCTTGTATGTATGTGTGTGAGTGAGAGACTTTGAGTGTTGCGGTTGGGGGAGTTTGTTGTTGCGTGTTTTGCTTGTTATTGGAAACGGAATTAAAATTTGTGCGGAACTCAAGTGCAATAATAATGTTGCGTGGGCGTGTAAATGTGCTATCTCTGCTTCTGCTTGCTGCAGCGAAAATTTTGTTGAATGCAAAGTGCGCAACGCAATTGAAGCCTGCCACATCATATGAAGACGTGCGGTTAGCCCAAGCAAATTAAATATGTAAGCATACAAACATAGATATGGTTGCATTGGTGTGTGTATGTGTGTGTGAGTGTGCTTATTGTGCTATGTACGTTTTAATTTAATCAGCACTACGAAGGGCATCTAAAATTAGCAAGAATTCCGGTTCCAGGCGGCAGTTCAAGTTCAGTGTGGGACTTGTACGATTTTTGCCTTGACATGCATTTGGTAGCCACCTACGTAGCAACTGCAAGCTTCTCCAACCCCTGAACCGAGGGGGGGACCACCCGGTGTTCACAAACCTACGCACATTCACAAGTGCACGTAGGCCGCCGCCGCCAACGCAAAGGGTTGCCAGACAGGGTGAGATGGGCTAGGGCGCGCAAGAACGAACATGTAAGAGAGAGAGGGAGAGAGAGAGAGCTAACGCCATTTGAGAGCTTGCGCATTGACGTAACCTGATGTAACAGTTACGTAGCCTGCTCTCGATGACGTCACACGCAGTTTCCTCCTGTTGCTCCAAAGGTCAAACAGAGAAGCAACACGGCCAATGACGTCGCAGGGCCAACGGATGACGGTTCAAGGCCTCTGCCATATGCCTTATTAATGAACTCGAGCTTTCTGGGTATTTCTTCTTTTTTTTTTTTTTTTTGTGCCCCCAGCAGCGTATAATGTTATGTGTTGGCTGTTTGTGTCTTTTTCCACGCTTGGACGTCAATCACAGGTGAACGTGACGTCAGCTGCTAAACGGAACATGTACACAGTGAGTGCTCGATCTTGTTATTGGACATGCCATTAACTTTCTGGCAAGCCTGTCCGAATCAAAATTCTTTTGTCGAAAATCCGGCACGGCAACACCGTACAATTTCCAAATTTTATTTTCACCAATGTCCAAGTCATTCACATTTCGCTTTTCTTTCGATTTATTGCTGTTGTTGTTGTTGTCAATTTTTCTTGGCATCCGAATGCGAATGGGTGAATGGGTAAAACCCCCAAACTTGTCTTTGCCGCGCTCTGTTTCACACGCGCCACACAAAATGCTGCTCAAAATTTGCCTCCATGACGTCATGCTCGTGCCCAGCAGCAGCGGCAGCAGCTAACTCGTGACAATGCAGCTCGACACCCTCCTGACCACACCTGAGATACAATAAATGAAATTTTGTTTAGCGAAATTAGAAATAAATCAATTTGTCGAGCGATAACAGCTGCTCAAGTAAACAAATAGTTGGCTCTATCCAAAATTGAACCATTTTAGAAAGTTAGGTTAGGTTTTGGAAGATGATAAGATGAAGATTTTGCGGGGCTGCAAAATATGCAAAGAAATGTAACCTTCATTTTTATTATCTCGTTGTTCAATAATTTTGTTAACCTCTTGTTCTCTTCTTCTTACAAATACATACATATATCTATTGCTTTACAACACTGGATGTTGTGGCTGTTAACTTTTAAAAGTTACAGAACATTTTTTCCTTTTCCTTTTTAAATTCTTTGCTAAAGAAATAAACATAGGAATATTTTCACGGAAGTTTTAACTGTATTTGATTTTTGTACTCTTAAATAGTTTCACATTTGTTGCTTACTGCACAATAACTGCCCCTCAGACATATCATTTGGTTGCGCCCGCTCCCGCCCACGCCCCGCGGCCCGTAAAACAGGCTAATCCCTCATCTGGCTGGGGCCTACGTGCCGGCTGACGCGTTGCGCACGTCTATCTCTATGTAGAGCTCCACGGCGAGAACTTTACTTCACATTTTGGATTCAATCGGATGCAGGCTTTGCGTTTTGGAAATATTGTTCTCAAATGAAAGCGAAGGTCATTTACGGGTGCCCCGTGGAAATTTACGTACAAGGTTTTTATTTTTTATTCAGCTGCCAGAACAGAAGATGATAATGATGATGATGATTCTGTTCGCCTTGGCATGGCATTCCCCTTTTACCTGGTATTCTGGTATTCAGTGTGCGGCATTATTCTGGCTTGCCCGCCGACCTTGGCCCAGTTCCTGCCCTTGCCAAATCTCCCAACTGAACTTGAAAGTTGTTGTCCGTGGACAACAGGACGGCGACGACGACGACGACGACGGCCTGGTCGACTGACCCTGAACCGGTTCATCTGAACGCCTTTAATGGGGCAATGACAGTTGGCTTTGTTATTTCTTCTTTTACTTTTTTATATATACATATATTTATTTCTTTTGCCTATGCCAACATCGTGGCCATCATCATCATCATCATCATGATGATGATCATTATTATAAGCAGTCGGGGAATCGTGAGTAGTCTCAATGGGAAATCAACAAACATCATCAATAAGATCAAACGGAAGAAAAACCAAGCCAGCATGTACTTGACCGACTGCGCAATACCCTGCTCACAGTGTTAACTTGAAGACTTTCAAACTGTCAGCAAATTGCAGTTGCTTTCAAACCGTGACGTCAGCAAATGTTGACTACAGTTGAGGTCACGAGTAGCTTAGCCCGTCCCTAGTGGGCGTGGCACACTTTCCATTTTTTTTTTTTAACGGACGACAAAACTAATTAACTCTCGTTCACTTTGAGAATGGGGTATTTAAAATAAAAAGATATACGTAAATATGGCACAAAAAGCAAACAGAAATAAATCTAGAATATAGGGTGCTAAGGGCGGGCGAGGGGCAGGGCAGGAGGAGAAGGCAATCTATAGTCCAATACGCCGGAAAGAGCGAATGACGACGAGGTCGCATATTCTGCGGCTGATTTGCACGTGAAGTCAACGTGAACAGCAACACACGCTAGAGCGAGACAGCACCAGACAGAGAGAGAGCGAGCGAGAGAGAGAGCACGCAAATAGATTAACAGCTAGAGAGCGGCAGACTCGCATAGTGAAAGAGCAAGAGAGACAGAGAGAGAGCCAGAGCGAAGGAGGATGAGACATCTTATTATTCACAGTTTGCATGACGTGCGCACGGGACCCAAATTGTCCGGCTGATGCGTTCGGCTTGCCCGTCAAAGGCCAAGCCCATTGCGAGTTACCGTAAATTGGCACTGATAAGGCCGACCAGCTGGCCAGCGCATGGTCAGCCGTGTGGGCGTGGCTGTGCCGGCATTATCATTGCGGAACGTGCAAGTCAAGCGCTTATCGCTGGCATCAGAGCTTACGGCGTGCGCCCCCAGCGTACGGCGTAGCTGTCGTTTCTGTCAATAGATTGTGCAGCTGATATGCCCCGTCCGGGAAGCGGGCTAATCAATG